GCCGTTGGTGGCCTTGTCTAGAATTCTTTCTTTAGAGTAATGAGGACTATGAGCAGATTGCAGGTGGTTGAAGAGTGAGTGGGCAGTGAGCTAGTGCGGACAGTACGTTCAAGAACTCTGGCTGGCATGGAGATGATGTGTTAATTAACTAGATGGGGGGGATCCTTTCATGATGTATACATATCAAATCACCAGGATGTACATTTTAAATATCTTACGGCTTTATTTGACATTGGTCTTGGAAATGATTTTTTGGATTTGACACCAAAACCAAAGGCAACAAAAGCAAAAATAAACAAGTGAGACTACATCAAACTAAAACTTTTGCATAGCAAAGGAAACAATCAACACAATGAAAAGGCAACACCAAATGGGGGAAATATTTGCAAATTGTATAATTGATAAGGAGTTAATATCCAAAATATATACAGAACTCCTACAAATCCATAGGAAAAAAACCCCAATCTCATTTAAAAATGGGCAGAGGATCGGAATCAATGTTTTTCCAAAGAAGATGTACAGATGACCAAAAGGTATGTGAAAAGGTGCTCAACATCACTGATGCAAATCAAAACCACAATTAGTTATCACCTCACACCTGTTAGAATGACTATCAAAAAGATAAGAAATAACAAGCATTGCTGAGGATGTGGAGAAAAGGGAGCACTTATGCACTGTTGGTGGGAATGTAAACTGGTGCAGCCACTTTGGAAAACAGTCTGGAGTTTCCTCAAAAAATTAAAAATAGAGCTACTGTATGATCCAGCAATTCCACTTTGGGTATTTATCTGAGGGAAACAAAAGCACTAAGTTGAAATGGTATCTGCACTCCCATGTTCATTGCAGCGTTATTTACAATAGTAAAGACATGGAAACAACCTAAGTGTCCATCAATGGATGAATGGATAAAGATGTGGTATACACACACATACACACACACACACACAGGAATATTATTCACCCATAAAAGAGGGAAATCCTGCCATTTGTGACAAGATGGATGAACCTGGAGGGTATTATGCTAAGTGAAATAAGACAGAGAAAGACAAATACTGTATCATCTCACTTATTGTGGAATTTCTAAGCCTCTCCCCCCCAAAAAACCACCCCAAATTTTCATAGATACAGAGAACAGATTGGTGTTTGCCAGAGGTAAGGTGTGCAGGTGGGAAAAATGGGTGAATGTGGTCAAAAGGTACAAACTTTCAGTTATAAAATAAGTCTTGGGGTTGTAATGTATAGCATGGTGACTATGGTTGATAACATGGTATTGTATGTTTGAAAGTTGCTAAGAGAGTAAATCTTAAAGGTTCTCATCATAAGAAAAAAGATAGGTAACGTTGTGTGGTAATGAAGGTTAACTGAGTATTGTGGTGATCATTTCACAAGGTATACAGATATTGAATCATTATGTTGTACATCTGAAGCTAATACGTCAATTATATCTCAATTTTAAAAAAAAACTTCTACTTATGCTATAGATGATCTAATTGGTTATAGATATCAGTTCAAGGAGATTTGGACTTCCAAGGATATGAATCATAGATATATCCAGGAGGACTATGGTTCATTAAAATCCCTCATCAGATTATTTTGGATCTTGTACCAGATATCTTCTATTTGCCTTTCTAGATTCACTCCCTACCCTTCTCCAACACTGGGAGGCTGTCCTGAATGGACTATATCAAGAGGCTCCCTAGCCCTCTGGCTTTGACTAGGTTTGGCCAATGGGGAGCCCTGACAAGACTGGAAGGTTGATTTTGACTGCCTGTTCTTCTAGATCTGACATCACAACTCTTACCAAAGGGCCTTCTTTACATGACCCTTTCTTTCTAGTTTCTAGTGATGGCTCCTTTCTCTTGCCTCTTCAGGCCTGGGGATAAAACACCTCCTTGCTACTATCTCTGCAGTGCTTCCCTATTTCTTGTGGTTTCCCCCAAATCTGCCCACACCTCTTTAAATAGTCCCTTATCCTTATGCCATTATTAAATTATTCTAAAATTAGGTATGACATCTGTAACCTGTTGGAACCTAGACTAAAGTAATTCTTGAGACCAAAGTGGTCCTAGAAAATAGACCCTCTAAATGGGATTCAGGATTAGGTTACTGGGAGGAGCCCAGGGATACCTCCTTGCTGGAGGGAAAATAGAATTTGAGGGCATCGAGATTTCTCAGATTGTCACTGGTGATAGAATTGAATAAAAGTGCAGGAGGAGGGCAAGGTTTTGAGAGATCAAGTGACTATGGTATCCAGTTGCTATGATGAAAATAATGATTTTAAAGATTTGAAGCCATCTGGATTCTCCTGTCACCTTAGAGAATGAACACAGGGAATGAGCAACCAAGAAATGTGGGCATACAATTAAGAAACAGAAAAGAATAACCTAAAGGGCCTTACAGCAGTTTTGAAATAGTTCCTCATTTTCAATGGCTACAAGGCAAACAGCTGAGGCCTGAAACACTCTGACTGAAACAGCTGCAGAATTGCAGCACCAATTAAATACATAACCTGGTCAGAGATATAAGAGAATTGGTGAAGACCATTGGATAAGGCATCTGGGTGGACATCGGTAAGGCTAAGGACATGCCCACTCCATTCCTCTGGACCTTTCTTGTCAATGAAAATGATATCCTTATCCACTTGTTTGAGGGTGTCAAACCCTCTCTCCATTAAAGCTTATTCCTGACTACACCTGGGACATTTGCCTCACAAGCTGATATCAAATCTCTTCATTACCCATCCCCACCACCATCATTGGCTCCAGGCCTGTAATGAGACTTAGACCCAACATAACCCTCACAGAAAAAATGCAAGCATTCCCTGCTCCTAGAGGAGATATCTATTACCGTAAGAATTACAAGACCTCAGTAATTGTATTAGCAAGAACCTGGGGAGCGAGTGTGGGAGTAGATTCTAAGATGGACCAAATATAACTTACATTTGGGTTGAATTCATTGTCATGGGTGCAAACATCTCTGGCACCTGGGATTTAATGTGTTACCTTGAGCAGCAGAAAGAGCAACCTATTGAGTTAGCTAATTAAAGCCTGGACTCAAACTTGACCTACTTCTAATAACATGACTTCTCATATACCATAGAGAAAGGTATTCAGAGGTGCAGGGTGATGGACTATTGGGAGAGATTTATTATTACTCTCGTCACCAGAGTTAAGAGATGTTTTGAAAGACAAGCAAAAGCATTCTTGAAGCACTTTGTAGTGTCTGTTTTATGTAGGCTGAAGATGGTGAAAACTGCCACAATTGAAGCGGATTTCTTGATCTTAATGGTAATTATACAATTCAGGAGCGGCAGAGGCCAGAGGGGGGCTTGTGTCAGAGACAAAGTATCATAATTACCACAATAAGTTACAGGAGTGGAGGAGTAATCAGAATGTTTTGATCCAGAGTAATCTGTGCTGATGACACCTTGATCACAGCTCCCTAAACGTGAAATAGACGGACAGCCTATTAATATGCTCATTGATATATTTAAGTAAAGGTAAGAGAGCCTGGGTGATGTGTCTACTACCTCCTCATCCCTGACATAGGCCCTCTGTGACCCAGTCCCTCAGTGATTGTTGTCGCTGCTGAGGGTCTGATGGTTCTTGAACCATACTTATTTTTTTGCTCCCAGGTTGAGGCCTGCAGTTACCTCCTCCCTCTCATTGTAGGCTGGATGCCTGGCCCTTTCTGCAAAACTCTTTGCTGTTTCCTTTTGTAGACTGTGCATTCTGTGCTGCCCTTTGGGGATGATACTTTAGGTTTTTGAGTTCTTAACTCTGTTCCCCTCTGTGTTCTGTGTAATGATCTTTTTGTTTTTTTTTCTTTTTTGGTAAGATTGGCCCTGAGCTAACATCTGTTGCCAATCCTCCTTATTTTGCTTGAGGAAGATTGTTGCTGAGCTAACACCTGTGCCAATCTTCCTCTATATTTTTTATGTGGGATGCTGACACAGCGTGGCCTGACAAGCAGTGCTAGGTCTGTGCCTAGTATCCGAACCCACAAACTCCAGGCTGCAGAAGCAGAGCACGTGAACTTAACCACTATGCCACCTAATGGGCCCCTGCGTACTGACTTTTTAAAGGCTCTTGATACATGTTGTCAAATTGCCTTTCCAGGAAGGTAGTCATTATTTTTGTTCCCATTAGTGGTTATGAGTTACCATTTGTTGACAGTCCTGCTAAAATTGTATTATTCCTTTCATATGATGTCTATCAGCCCCAAATGTTATCTTTCTAACTTGTTTTGCTTAGTGAAAACAGTATTTTCCTTTTTTCATGAACTGACAGTTAATTTTTATACTATTTTCTATAGATGTTCAGCTTTTTATTTTTGCTTTTAATATCAACCTATATATTCATGTTTAATGCATCTGCAATGATATATATGTAATATATTTTTTCTACACCAATCTGAAGTGACAATTTATATGCTAAATTCTTATAAACATCTAGGTCTAGTTACAATCAATTCTGTCCCAGAGATGTCAATTCCTAGGTTAGGACTATACTATATAACTAGTATAGTAGTAAGATTATTACTCTCCCTTTAATAAAATGTTCATAGCAGGGCTGGCTCAGTAGTGGTTAAGTTTGCATGCTCTGCTTCAGCAGTCTGGGGTTCGCAGGTTCGGATCCTGGGCACAGACCTCGCACTGCTGGTCAAGCCACACCGTGGCAACACTTCACATGAAATAAGGGAAGACTGGCATAGATGTTAGCTCAGTGAAAATTTTCCTCTAGCAAGAAGAGGAAGATTGGCAACAGATGTTAGCTCAAGGCCAATGTTCCTCACACGTACACACACACAAAAACGTTCATAGCTATTTTAGCTTACTTCTACAAAATAAACTTTATAATCACTTTGTGAAATAATCTTCCCAATGAAATACTGGATTAGAATTTTTTAAATAGTTTAATATGGGAAAATTCAACATATCTAGAATAGTTTTCTCATCAAGATCTCTCCATTTATCCAGGTAGTTTTTGAGGGAAGTAGGGTATATCTAGTATATCTGAATTCACTTATTAAATCTAAGTTTTTCGTTAATTTTCTTAGGTTGTCCTGATGGTTTACTATATCATCAGCAAACGACTTTCTCCTTTCCAATTTACATTTATTTTTCTTCTCTATTTCAATTAGCACTTTCAAAGCACTAAATAATTGTGGAGATCAGAATTTTATTTTTTGCCATTACCTTTAGGATAAAGTCAAGACTTCAAAGGTGGCTTACAAGGCCTTTCACGATCTGGCCTTTGACTCTCTCTAGCTTCACCTCTCTGTATTCCTGCTCCATTCTATTCCAGTGCCATATTCCAGCCAGTGGACTTCTGTTTCTTGGTATCATGCCCTCATTCCTCTGTAGCTTTGTACTCATTTCTCCTTTTTCACCTCTAACATTCTCACCCTCCACCACACACAATCTAATTTCCACTCACTCTTCATGTTTCAGCTTAGATATCTACCCTTGAATGCACACAGTACAACTCAAATTAAATAAGTAGGTTTATGGAAAACGGCTGGGGGAAAATGTTAATTGGCTGTAAATATTCTGCAAAAATTAAATTTTAAATGCACTCTGAAGACGTATTTTTTGAAGCTACATATGTTTCAAAAAATAAACTTTTTATTTTTTAGAAAGCTTAGGAGAAAAAAAATAAGCATCTTACTTTTCCCCAAATAGCTAGCTGTTGAAAAAAGATAAAAAATGAAAAGAGTACTTTTATCTTTCAACCATGCAAAAGAAAATCACTTATATAAAAACGTGAACTATTACATTCAGAACACCTAAAATGAGAACGCCAGAATTCATTTGATGAATGACTGAACTATATGCGTCAAGAACTTCTTACATTCAGAGTGTTTTTCTCCTGTTAGGATGTTCTACAAGTTTCCTTATGTTTATACGAATTTTCATAACAATTATTTGTATAGGGTTTTGACCTAAAGAATACAACTTGTGATGCAAAGGATGAACAAATGAACACAGAATTTTCCACATTTAACAACTCATCATAGAGGTTCAATCCAGTATACCTTTTCTGCTTTTGCATAAGGTATGAGCTCTGACAAAGAGCCACCAACATCATTCACTAGAAATGTCTCCAGTATGAATCTTTTTGGGCAGAGTTAAGATAAGCATCTTTGCTCAAGAACCCTTTGGGATCCTGAAGTAGCTTAGAAGTAGCAAGAGGCAGGTCTGGTGCACAGACTTTTAGGAAACTTTATTGATCCTTTAATGTTTGGGACAAATGATACACCTAGGCAATGGATGTCTCTCCAGCCTAGATCCCAAAGAGTACTTTAAAAAAATGCAGATATTGAGGAATACATGTAGATTACCACCACCACACCCACTTCCCACTGCAGTTGATAACCTTCTTCCAATTCTAGTCCCCACTTAGCAGCAGGAGAAACAAGGATATTATCAGGAGTGGACTAATTGGCTGTCACTGTGGTCTTTGCCATTAATTCAGAGAGAATTCAGTCCTTAGCAGTAGCCTATATTCTTGTGAGCTCCTGGTTTCTTGTGACCTTACGAGGACTGCCAGTTTGAAGTGTGAGTTTCGTTAAATATCAATTCCAAGGGTATTGCATGGCTCCTCCTTAATATCTACTTCATCAATAGATCAGGTGAATATAAGTATACCATAGGTCCCATTTATGAAGTAGGGAGAGATGACAGTATTGGGTATCAGAATAATGACAGACAAACACTTGTTTGGTAATACATTTGTCTCCAAGCCCTTGTGGCCTTGGGAGCTGGGAAAAGCTCCGACAGTTTACTCTCAAATATTAATTCTGTCATATCAATTAAAGAATAATCTCTGACAAATATTTTATTCCATTTACTACATTCATAGGATTCCTTCCAGCATAAATTCATGGATGCTGAATGAGTTCTGCACTCCGACTGAAGCTAATCCCAAATTTCTTTCTGTTATAGGACTTCTCTTGAGTTGCCCTATAACTATGAAGTTTTTGGTGTTTTTTAAGGTTTGAACTCCTATTGAAGGTTTTCTCACATTCCTTACATTTGAATGGTTTTTCTCCTGTATGAATCATTTGATGTCGAATAAGTGAGGAGCTCCTGCTGAAGGATTTTCCACAGTTACATTCATAGGGATTATCTCCAGAATGCAGTTTTGGATTTTTATTACTGTCTTCACTCTTACTAAAGGCTTCTCCAAATTTATTGCCTTCATAGGCCTTTGCTTCAGTATGAATTTTTTGATGCTTAGTAAGGTTTGAACGTCGGTTGAAGAATCTCCCACATTCACAGCATTTATAGGGTTTCTCTCCAGTGTGAATGATTTGATGTCGAACAAGGGATGAACTCCGGCTGAAGGCTTTCCCACACTGACAGCATTCATAGGAATTCATTGTGGTATGACCTTTTGGGCGGTGAATATCTGTACTCAGGCTCAAGGCATTCTCAGATTCATTATACTCTAAATGTTGCTTACCTTCTGAGTCTAAATTAAATTTGAAGTTAGTTTTAAACTTACCACACTTTGGGGGCCCCTTTCTCATAGGAATTCCCTGTTGCGTATCAAAAATTGAGTTAACTGATAGAACATCAGAGCTTTTCTTACTTTCACTAGATTCAAAGTCTCCCTCCTCATTGTAGGTTGTTTTGTAAATGAAAGATTCACGTGGTAAATTTACATCCCAGTGGTCCTGGTTCCTATATAACCAATCGTCACTTCTCCAACCATCTAAAGAAGGGTGTCCACTTTTGGTCAGTCTTGTCATAATCACTCCATGGGATGGTTCTTCTCTAGAAATTCTCTGCTTTGGAACAGAATTTTGGTTTTCCGAAATTGTCTCTCTATCTAAAAAGAAATAAAAAAATTCCATGAACTAGAAGAAGGGAAATTGTTTAATTAGGAAAAGGAGACTAAACCATATCAGGGTATATGCATATTGTATGGGTTTTAAATACAGAATAGGAATGTGAGACAAGGTTAGAAAAGAATTATAGAATAAATAAATGGAATAAAAATAAAAAGGGGGTTAGGAGATCATAAAATATGAGGAGAGCTATTCAGGAATACTAAGGAGAATACATAGGGCTTGGGTAAAACATCAGCACATGAACTGGGATGTGTGGCATTTCACAGTTCAGACTATCACTGGTGCTTATAGTCTGTGAAGATTATGCCTAATGTTCCTTTCTCCAGCATGCTCTTTTAACCGAAGTTGCTCACCAATAATAAATAAGCCCTTCTAAAATACCAATTTAACCACATCTTTAGGAACATGCCTATACTTACAGGCACCATACCTTAACCAGCTAAAAGCAGAGTTGCAATCTTAGTGCCTCTATTTTCTATATAGCTGCAATTATTCCTTTTTGAACAAAGGGAGAAAAAACTGTAATATAAGGTAGCAGGGAAATTATCCTTTGTCTGGGCTCAAAACCACTCCTGATTTAACAGTGCTATGATATTTTTCTCCGTATTTCCTAGAACTCAAAATTTCACCTGTTCTGATTAAGGTTAGATTCTCTTTTCACCTGTCTTCAGTTTGTTTCATTTAATAATGTTCTGCCTCCCTTCTCAAAATTCCTTTCTCATTTAGCTTCTGTATAAACATGCCCAGTATACTATGTATTCTAGCAACTTAAAAAAAATTAAATTTTACTGCCTGCCCTTTCTCCTTTTCCACATAATTTCAGGTACATCTAATGATTTTATCTTCTAAACTTTATTGGTAGCCAAATCACATCTTCATATATTATTGACCCTTGTTTTTACCAGTCTCCTGGACATCTCCACTTGACTACCCTACTACTCTCTTCCAACTCAACGAATGAGAGCCTGAGAATATCATCTTCCATGTGGAAAGAACTTCCCTCAATGTCTTCATTTTTGTTGAGTCACTGTTGTTCTCATATTTACACTAGAGTTCATGAAGAGATCTTGAATAACCACTGCTCTTTATCTCTTATATATAATCTGTCCTTAAATACTATTATTTTATTTTATGAAATGACTCTTACCTTAAAGCGGCCCCACTGATACATCTAACTTCATCAAGAAACTATCAGTTTGGCCTGGTTTAGTCTAATTTCTAGCAGAAATTATCATTTGTCTGTACAATACCCAAGCTGAAAACTAGGCTGTTAAATCAGAATCTCCTGGGGTGGAACCTGGGAATATAATGGGAGTATTGATTATAGTTTTCCTGCCTCTGCTCACCACTGTATCCTGAATGTGTGGGGGCAGATGACTTGTCCTTCTAATTCATACGCCTTCAGAGAGAGAGGAACCTCTTCCCAACCTGGACCTAATTTAGATGATGGGATCTTGGGCTTCAAGCTTGATGCCATCTAAGATGAGGTATTAGGAGAGAGTAAATGTATTTAACAAGGGGGAAACAGATAATTTCTGGCCAGAGGACAGACTATAGATCAAAATGGCTGCACATTCTTTGACACTCTCCCCATAGAGAATAGTCTATTTTTCTTCCCCTTGAATCTGGGCTGATCCTGTGACAACTCAGCCAACAGAATGTGGCAAAAGTGATACTATGCCACTTCTGGGCCTAGCCTTTAGGAGAGTGAGGAGATGAGGAAAGGCCATATATAGGGGCTCGGGTTCATAGGACAAGCTTAGTTCCCAGTTACAGCCAGCATCAACTTCTATCCCTCAAATGAGCCATCTTGACCATTCTATCCCAGTCAAACGCTGCATCCTCAGCCAACACCATATGGAGAGTAAGAATTCCTAAGTCAACTCACAAAATTGTGAAAATTAATAAAATGATTGCAGTTTTAAGTCACTAAGCTTTGGAGTGATTCGTTAGAAGCAACAGATAACCAAAACAGTAATTGTGCCAGGAGTATTTATTGAATGACAAAATTCTTAATTTGTATTTCCCTAAATAATCTTTGTTGTTGTTCTCATTTTGTACAACTCATTTTTCATGTAACTTCCTTACTTGTTTTTTTAAAATCACTTCCATGATTTTGTTATTTTCAAGTCACTTAGTTCTAATATGTAAGAAAGCTACTAATATTTTTGTTTTATATTTGGTCATCTTACAAAACTCTTAACAGATATAATAGTTTTGATAATGAGTCTCTTGCATTTTCTAAGTAGACAGTTATTTGAAAATAACGTTTTTTTCTCTTCTATTAAATTTCTCATTTGTTTCATTTATTTTTCATGGTTAAGTCTTTCAGGTCAATATTAAATAATTATGGTAATAAGTATTCTTTAATCCACTACAATCCATTAACTGGGAAAATAAATTACATTTACTGAAGTAAATTCCAGATTGATTAAAGTATTTTATTTAAATAATGAAATTAGAATAAAATCAGGAAATATGTTTCTTGGTTGGGGGATGGAAAAATTCTTATGTAAAATTAACAGGTATCAAGCAATGGGGGAAGATATCTGTAACATAAATTTTAAAAATATGTATGGCAGACACCATAAATAATTTAAAAACCTCAGAGTACCTCATTTGCCTCAACTGTGGTCAATAGTGACAATTTACGTAAGATCTTAAGATATTACTTAAAAACCTCCAAAGTTTTAATAGATAAAGGACATAAAATAACCATTTACTGAATCACAAGTGACCAAAACAGATGAAATAATTTTTACCTTTCTCATAATCAACTATCTATCCTTTTTTTTATTGGGTTCCTATATATGTGCAAAGGGCTGGAGATATAAAGATAAGGCAAAAAGAGACATGGTCCCTACCCTCAAGGAACATAAAGCCCAGTGTGGGAGACAAAGATTCACACACATACATGGGAAATACCATTGTGTTAAATGCTAAAAGGAGAAGAATATGGTGCTATGGGTGTACGTAACAGAAAAAACTAACTGAGTCAAGAAAGTCTTCCCTGGGGAAATGTGGACCTATTTGAGATCTGAAGGAAGACTAGGAGTCAACTAGGCAAAGAGCAGGAGAAAGAGCATTTTATGTAAAGAAACAGCATGTACAGAGGTCCTGTGAGGGGAGAGGGCAAGCCACACTCAGGGACAACTAGACTGTGCTTCCTCTGGAACTGTCTCTTCTCTGCATTACCCCAGCACCTATCAGAGTGCTCAGGACACAGTAGATGCTAAACGTATTTGATACTGACTGACTGAAAGTAGATCAGTGTGGTTCAAGTGCAAAGACTAAGGGGAAGACGTAGTGTGAGACGATGGAGAAGCAGGTTGTCAAGTAAACAAAACTGAGATCAGGACAGTGATTTAAGCAAGTACATGACAAAATTTGATCTCTTTGATTGCAGCATGGCTCAAACACTGAAGTTGGGGAAAAAAAGACAGAGCCAAGTGGCATGCCAAGACCTTTTATGATGATAAATTAAGAGACTATGGTGAGGGGCTGGCCTGGCGGCGCAGTGGTTAAGTTTGCACATTCTGCTTCTCGGCTGCCCGGGGTTTGCCGGTTCAATCCCAGGTGCGGACATGGCACCGCTTGGAACGCCATGCTGTGGTAGGCGTCCCACATATAAAGTAGAGGAAGATGGGCATGGATGTTAGCTCAGGGCCAGTCTTCCTCAGCAAAAAGAGGAGGATTGCAGTAGTTAGCTCAGGGCTAATCTTCCTCAAAAAAAAAAAAAATAGCAAAGAGAAGATTTAAAAAAAAAAACCACTATGGTGATAGTTCAGGTGAGAGATGATAATATAGGGACTAGGGTAGTAACACTGCAGATGGAGAGAAATGGGGACATGCAAGAGAGATTTAGGAAGTTAAAATAAAAACAAATTTAGACAGGTGAAGGAGAAGAAGTTGTGTCAAGGATAATACTTAAACTACACTTGCATAACTGGCTGGACGGCAGTTCACTCAGCTAGGGAACAATGAAAGAAGATGGGAAAGGAAAAGATCATGACTTTGGTTTAATGGAATTTAAGGAATCTTTAAGACATCCAAGAGAAATGTTATGTGCATATAAATTTTCAGTTCGGAGAAGAAGCCTGAGCTGGGATATAAATTTGTAATTCATCTGTTGATGCGTGATAAGTGAAGTTCTAACTGTGGATGTGACAACCTAGGGAAGAAAATACAGAGTCAGAGAAGACAAAATGAGATCAAATGCTGAAGAAACTCGGAAATTTATGAAATTTGGATAGCTAGAGAAAGATAAACCTGCAACAGAAATAGAATAGCCAGAAAGAAGAGGAAAACTGAAAGTATTACAAGAACCTAAGAGCATTTTAAGAATGAGGAACAGGTAACAGTGCCACTTGGTGGTGAGAAGGCAAGTGAGACAAGGAATGAAAAAATGTCCACTGGAGTTTGCTACAATAAAGTCATTAATGACCTTAGCGAGGACTGTTTCAGATGAATATTTGGGTTAAGGGCTAAATTCAAAGGGGTTGAGGACTAAAACATGAGGAAATGAGAAAAGTGAGTGTAAAATATCTTAAGTTTGGCTATAAAGAAGAGGTAAGAAAGAGTCATAGAAGAGGATGTGGGATTGAGAGAAAACTTTTAAAAATCAGTAATGACTTGAAAATGTTAAAAAGCTAATGGGAAGATGGGGCAGAAATGGTGAAAACATAAGTGAAAGAGCAGGGAGAAAGGAGATCCAAAGGATAATTGATGCGCAGGATTTACCTCAGAAAGGAAGAAACAGAATAATCTGCCTATCAAATTAACAAAGATTTCAGGTAAACAATACCCAGTGTTTGCTAGGGTGATAATAATAAATAAAGAGATAATAATACTGTCATTACTACTGAGAGTATGAATTGGTATAACCTTTCTGTAGACAATGTAGCATAATGTAACTAGACGGTTAAATATATTTATACCCTCCGATGGTGAAGTTCCTCTTCTAACAAGGTGTCCTATGGCAGTCATCAGATATACCTGAAAAATTGGCTGCAACCTAAATGTCCAACACTTGGTGGGGGGGATGGTTAAATATATGGATACATGTATGAGATGGAATGTTATATGTGAATCAGAAACCACATTTTCACAGACTATTTAGTAAAATAGGTAAATACGCATGATATCATATTAGGTGAGAAGAGTAAAATATATAATGACATATTCCTGATGACCCTGACTTTGGAAAAAAATCTTCACAAAGACACATCGTCACAAAGAAAGAAAATGGCTAAGAAAACAAACCACATGTTAATGCTGCACAGCTCTTGGTAGTGAGGTAATGGGGGGAGTTATATTCCTCTCCATACTTTTCTATACTTACTAACATTTATATTAAGCCCACAATAAATTATAATCCCTCACAAACAAAACGTTAATAGAGATTATGAGGAGGTAGGAAGTTGAAGTGCAAGTTAAGGAGTTCTATAGTAAAAGAAGGAAAAATGGAGGCTTACTGAAGCCTCTCCAGGATAAAGCAGGGTTTCTCTTTTCTTTAAAAGAAAGACTATCATTTAATATTATGTTGCTAATGTTTGTTTATACAGCACTTACCTCGTGCCAGGCACTGTCCTAAGTGTGTTACAAATTTCAACTCGTTCAACCCTAACAGTAAGGTGGAGGGAGACACTATTATTAACTGTCACAGAGGAGGAAACTAGCAGAGGGGCCAAGCAGCTTTAAGTGTCTGTACTCCTACTGACAGCACTATTTTGTCTATCCAGAGAAGAAAAAGAATGTGGGAATAAAAAGCAATGATGACTTTTTTTCTTCAAAGTTTAGGTGGTTCTGTTGTCACCTCCCCAATTATCAACTCAAAGCCTGAGTTATACATTGTGTGTTTAACAAACAGAAACTTCTTACAAATGCCTCACATCTGTCTGGCTCTTACCAAAAATGGTTGCTCTTGGGATTTCTCTCTCCATTATCCATCTTTTTTTCTTACTCTCCAACTTGGACATCTCAACAGGTTTGGAAAGTAGATGGTCTGTTCAGGGGGAAAATGAAAACAACAAGAACAAACAAACATGACACTTCAGACATTTTTATAGGGAAGAGCATTCCATCCCAACGTAGTAGTCTAAAGAGCTGTGGAAAGATAAAGCCAGAGACTACCACGGACCTGTGTATTTCTAACTACATCAGAAAGGACTTTCAAGCAGATACAGCAGGAAAATCTGCTATTGTGCCCAAAGGATATTAGGAAACCTGAACCCAAACCCAAGTGCCCTTAACCACTTAAGCAGTCCTACAGTTTTTAACAGTAGATGAAGAGACTACTAATGGGCAGATAGGTAAATACGCAGAAGCCACCTTTACGCAGTGAATTCAGGTGTCTATAGTTCTCCAGCATCACATCCCTGTACAGGTTCTTTACAGCAGGGTCCAGCTGCCCCCACTCTTCCTCGCTGAATTCCACAACCACATCTTTGAACGTCACCGGTTCCTAAAACATTAAGTTCCTTTTTATTCAAAAGTCACTCCCAAAAATATTACCAGAGGAGAAATGAATTTGGAAGGAATAGGGTAGGTGGCCAGAACATACAAGAAATTGATAGGACAATGTTTGGAGATCTAAGTGATGAAAATCAAGTTGTATTAGGGGCCTATCAACTTGGTACTCTGTGAGGGCTGCAAAAGGAAAAGGAAGTGCAGTCCTAACTCCAGATTAGCTTACATGTTGGTTGAAGAGAAAAATGGAATAATTGTGGAACAAAAAAATTAGAGTGGTACAAACAATTTACATAAAAGGAGTTCAGAACAGGAAGAGTTTAAAGTAGATTTGAGGGAAATCTGTAATCAAGATTTAGGCTGTGCTAATAGAAGAGGTAAGGCATTTTCTCTAATTGAGAGATGTGACCTGCTAACTCTTTATCATTCAGGTGTCACTGCCCAGTGCCACCCTGTCAGATAGGCCTTACCTAATTATCCCAAGTAGCCATCCTCCTAATCAGTTTCTACTGCACTGTTTCTTTCAATTCTTTGTTCTAATTATTACTATCTGCAATGATCTCATTTGTTTGTGTTTGCCTGCCTACCTCCAGTAGGAGGTAATTTCCACAAAGGCAGGGATTTTTCTGTTTACCATCATATTCCCAGCGCTGAGAAAGGTGTCTGGCAAATTAGGCACTGCATAAATATTTGTTATAAGGGCCCTCACACCATCAGTTGTTGCACTTCTCTCTCCAGCTTTCTCAACCTTGTCATTATTGGCACCCTCAGTCACAGTGAAATATCCAAGTCTCTTCCTTTCCTATCCTTCAGAGACAAATCTGTGTGAATAAGTTGTCTACATTCGTTTTGCCTACTTCCTCACATTCTTCTCCTTCCTCAACCCTCTGCAACCTGGCTTCTAGTCCCATGAATGTTAGCATCTCCACAAATAGGTGAATAGAAGCTACTCAAGCTGAATTTTCTTGAACTTTTACAAGATTTCTCCTTGAAATATTCTCATCCTTTGCTTTCAGTGACATCATATTTTCCTGGACTTCCTTTTCCACTTTGGGTCTTTCATTCCAGCATCCTTTGAAGTTTCTTCTGCTCCTGCCTATTAAATGACAGTGCTCAGGATTCTGCCCTCAGCTCCTTTCACTTCTAATTCTAAGCAGTCTCTGGGTAGGCTCTATTTCTATAGCTTCAATTATCGTCTACAATCTTGAGGGAACAGATGCTCAGAGAATATACAAAGATTAAATATTTCCAAAGAGTGTATCACCAACTAAAATAGGGCCAATGTCCTGTGGGAGAATAACAGTCCCATGTCCTTACATGGAACTATGTTTGGCAAAAGTTCAAAGACCAAAAAGGAAAAGACAAGTCATCTCAGTAAAGAGTGGAATCCTAATTCACCTGAGATTTGCCTGTTAGTGAATCAGCTTCCAGCTTCTCCTTCTTGATGCTCCCCTTCTGGAACAGGACAGAATCCTTGCAAGGCATATCTGAGAAAGATGAAGGAAACGTGAGGGAGACAAGTTTTGGCCCTGGAGAAACTTTTAATGATTATAGTAGTAGTTGTAACATGATTTAGAATCATCATTAGAACTCTGAAAAAGTAATGTGAGGTTCTACCAGCAATCGGAATCTCCAAGAGTAGCGCGCACATCTTCTATTTTTAAAAAGCTCTAGAAGTGATTTGATATTCTACTAGGGGGCTGAGGTCTACTGGATCAGAGAGGAGAACGCCAAAGTAATATTTTGAGGCCTCATTTGTGGTTACAGCAGATTCCAAAGAAGAATTTTAAGGCTGTCAAAACTTAAGCCTAACTAAGGCTTGGCCATCATAGGCTGTAATTCTACTGGGAGCTAAAAACATTTAATCCAACCAGTCCCCTCCTCAAACACATTGTGGAGAATTCTACTCAAGGTTCTTCTCCTCTCGTTGCTCTGTGTATACTATACACAGCCTTAGGCAGTCTGGTCACCTTGAACTACTGACTCTTTCAGGACATAAAAATCTCAGTGGCAACCAATTCTCTTCTTCAGCTCTTTGGTGAGAAGTATCCCCAAGGGCCACTTTCCTAAAGTTTCTCCAAGATTCATGAGTTACACCAGTGATCCTTAAATGCCAGACTATGGACCAATACTGGTCTATGGAGAAGTTTTCATTGATTTGAGGTGAAGTAAGAAAAAACAGAAAGAATGTAGAGGATATTTTATAAGACCATTTTGTAATTAAAAGCAAAATTTGAAAAAAAAAAACCCAAAATTTCTCAGCAACATACCATTTGAATGCTGCCAAACGAGTACAGTCAGTTAACTTTATTCAGGCTTATAACACTTTCTGAGCCCTCAGTCTGCTCAGTCCACAATCCCTAGGTCAGTCAATACAACATTGTTTCTTCTTCTTGTCATTCTTGGAATTATACGAGATATCTTGAAAAGGTGCAAAATCATCCAGTCAACTATTCTCTTATTTATTGCTCTCACTGAATACTGTTTCCTTTCCGTAACCCTTCTTCCCTGCTGACCTCCTTCTTGAACCTTTACAATTGTGTTCTCTGAAACTCTCATTCCATTCCAAGAAAAATTCATAGACAGTCTCAAGCTGTTCATAGAATATTCCTTCTCCCTTCTAAAGTGGACCTTGACCATGATCATCAAAGCCCCCTCTTTTCATCCTCCACTCCTATGGTCTTAGAAGTTGTTTTGATACACTCATACCTCCCGGAAGTTGTTTTGATACACTCATACCTCCCCATTCCTGCTTCCTCATAAAGATTTTTCTATTCTCACACAAAAAATTTTTCTCAGAGGTTCATGCCATTCAGCTGTGGCCTTCTTGATGTTGTAATATACTAAACTGTCACTCACTCATTTATTGAACACATATTTACTGAGTATCTCTTATGTGGGAGGCACACAAATGCCTGCCCTCAGAGAGCCTATAGTCTATTGTGAATGACAGACATTAAATAAGTAATTGAACTAGGTCAATAAGATTTTGGTTACATGGCTCACATTGTTGTTTTCCACCCCAAATCCTGCCAATAATGTTACAATTTTTTTTTTTCATGAGGAAGATTGGTCCTGAGCTAACAACTGTTGCCAATCTTCCTCTTTTTTGCTTGAGGAAAATTGTTGCTGAGCTAACATCTGTGCCTGTCTTCGTGTATTTCATCTGGGATGCTGCCACAGCATGGTTTGATGAGTGGTACTACGGTGGTGCCTGGATCTGAACCTGTGAACCCCAGGCAGCCAAAGCAGAGTGTGTGAACTTAACCACTACCCCACCGGGCCAGCCCCTACGATAAGTTACTTGTAACAATGGCAGAGATAACCTTTCCAACAACCCAGCCAGAAAACCCTTGACATCCTTATTTTTAATAACCATCAGGAATCAAGCTACTTCCTTTTTTGTACTTGGGTTCTTGTTACTTAGAATTGTTCTAATAAATTATTGAATAAATCAATCCCTAACTACATTTTCCTATCCTTTCCATTTTCACTTTCTTACTCTTAGTTTATTCTCCAACTTTTATCAAAGTTCCACCCTAGTACATTGAATTTTTAATTTTCTCAAGTCTATCATCCCTCTTGTGAAGTCTCTTTCTTCTCTCTGCAGCTTAGATTTCAAGACAAATCACTTCCAGCACTCTTTTCAGAGTCTTCAAATTCCTTGTCCTTTAATCTAACACCCAATCTTAGTTTGATCCAATAATCTATCAATTCTTTTTAAAAACTGAGGTAAAATTCACATAAAATTCACCATATTAATCATTTTAAAGTATACAATTCAGTGGTTTTCAGCAAATTCACAATGTTGTGCAACCATCACCAGTACCTACTTTCAGAACATTTTCATTAGCCCAAAAAGTAACCCATATTCATAAAGGAGTAACTCCCCATTCCCCACCCTCCCATACTGTCTCTATAGATTTGAATACTCTGGGAATTTCATATAAATTCAGTCATGTGATACGTGACCTTTTGTGTCTGACTTCTTTAAATTAGCATAATGTTTCAGAGGTTCATTCACGTTGTAGCATGTATCAGTATTTCATTCCTTTTAATGGCTGAGTAATATTCCACTGTATGGATATACCATTATTTGTTTATCCATTCATTAGTTGATGAACATATGGATTGTTTCTACTTTTTGGCTACTATGAATAATGCTGCTATGAACATTCATGTACAAGTTTTCATGTAAACACGTGTTTTCATTTCTCTTAGGTATACAGTAATTCCATGTTTAACTTTTTGAGAAACCACCAAACTATTTTCCATAGCAGTTGGACCATATTACATTCCCAAAAGCAATGTATAAGGGTTCCAGTTTCTCCACATCCTCACCAACACTTATTTTTTATTAGTATAGCCACCCTAATGGATGTCAAGCGTTATCTCATTGTGGGTTTGACATTAAATTCCCTAATGACTAATGATGCTGAATAATTATTTCCATGCTTGTTGGCCATTTGTATATCTTCTTTGGAGAAATACTTGTTCAAGTCATTTGCCCATTTTAAAAATTGTGATGTCTTTTTGTTGTTGAATTGTAAGAGTTCTTTATATTTTTCCCATACTAGGCCTTTATCAGATGTGATTTTCAAATATTTTCTCTCATTCTGCAGGTTTCCTTCTCACTTTCTTATAGTATCCTTTGATGCACAAAAGTTTTAATTTTCATGGTTTTTCTTTTGTTGCTTGTATTTTTGTTGGCATATCTAAGCATCAATCACCAAATTCAAAGTGATTAAGACTTACTCCTCTGTTTCTTCTATGAATTTTATAGTTTTAGTTCTTACATTTGTTGATCCATTTTGAGTTAATTTTTGTATACAGTATGAAGTCCTAATTCAATATTTTGCCTGTGGATATCAAGTTGTTCCAGCACCATTTATTGAAAAATTATTTTTCCATTTAATGGTCTTCGCACAGTTGTTGAAAATCAATTGACCACTGGCCTATGAGTTTATTTCTGAACTCTCAGTTCTATTCCATTAGTCTATATGCCTATCCTATTCTGGTACCACATGGCTTTGATTATTGTAGTTTTGTAGGAAGTTTTAAAATTGGGAAGTATGCATCGTCAAACTTTATTCTTCTTTATCAAGGCTGTTTTGGCTATTTAGGGTCCTTTGTAATTCCAAATGAATTTCAGGATCAGCCTGTCCATTTCTGCAAAAAAGGTAGCTGGAATTTTTATATGAATTGCATTTGAATCTGTAGATTGCTTTGGGGAGTATTATCATCTTAACAATATTGTCTTTCAATCTATGAATGAGGTATGTTTCCATTTAAGTCTTCTTTAATGTCTTTCAACGTTTTGTAGTTTTCAGTGGTCAAGTCTTACACCTCCCTAAATTTATAGTTAAGTATTTTATTCTTTTTAATGCTATTATAAATGAAATTGTTTTAATTTCTTTTTAGGACTGACCATCGCTAGTATATAGAAATGCAATTGACTTTTGTATGTTGATCTTGCATCCTGAAATTTTGTTAAATTTGTTGATCACGTCTAACAGTGTTTTACTGGATTCTTTAGACATTTTCTCTATATGACTAGATCATCTGCCAGTCGAGACAGTTTTACTTCTTCCTTTCCAGTTAGGATGCCTTTCTTTCTTTCCCTTGTCTAGTCACAATGGCTAGAACCTCCAGCATGATGCTAAAAAGAAATAGTGAGAGTGGGCGTCCTTGATTTTTTCCTGATCCCAAGGGCAAAGCTTTCAGTCTTTCACCATTAAGTATAACGTTTGCTGTAGGTTTTTCATAGACGCGCTTTTTCAGGTTGAGGATATTCCCTTGTATTCCTAGTTTGAGTGTTTTTATCATGAAAAGGCATTAGATTTTGTCAAATGTTTTTTCTGCATCAATTGAGATGATAATGTGATTTTTCCCTTCACTCTATTAGTATGGTGTATAACATTGATTTTCCTATGTTGAATCATCCTTGTATTCCTGGGATAAATCCCACATGGTCATGGTGTATAATCCTCTTAATATGCTGCTAGATTTGGCTTGCTAGTTTTCTTTTTTTATGATGTCTCTGTCTGGCTTTGGCATCAGGGTACAACTCACATCATTGAATAAGTTAAAGTGTTCCCTCCTTCTATTTTTTGGGAAGAGTTTGAAAAAGATTGATGTTAATTCGTCTTTAAAATGTTTGGTTGAATTCACCAGTGAAGCCATCTAACCTTGGGTCTTCTCTGTTGAAATTTCTTAAGTTACTGATTCAATCTCTTTAGTTGTTACAGATGAGTTCAGATTTTCTATTTCTTCTTGAGTCAGTTTTGATAGTTTGTGTTTTCAGAATTTTTCTATTTCATCTAAGTTATTTAATTTGTTAGTATATAATTGTTCACAGTATTCTCTTATAATCTTTTTGATTTATGCAAGGTCAGTAGTAATGTCCCCTACTTTTATTCCTGATTTTAGTAAATTGAGTCTTCTTTTTCTCTTGGTCAGTGTAGCTAAACTTTTATCAATTTTGTTGATCTTTTCAAATGTCCCACACTTCTAGTTTCACAGGTTTTCTCTACTCTTCTATTATTTCATTTATGTCTGCCTAATCTTTATTATTTTTTTCCTTTTACTCACTTTGTGTTTAGTTTGCTGTTCTTTTAGTTCTTTAAGGTGCATAGTTAAGTTATTTGAGGTTTTTCTTTTTCAATGGTGGCATTTACAACTATACACTTCTCAGCACTGCTTTCACTGCATCCCATAAGTTTTGGTATGTTGTGTTATTGTTTTCTTCCCTCTCAAAATATTTTCTAATTTCCCATTTTATTTCTTCTTTGACTCTTTGGTTGTTGAAGAGTTGTTTAATTTCTATGTATTTGTGAATTTTCCAGATTTCCTTCATTTATTGACTTCTAATTTCTTCTTGGTGGTTGGAAAGATACTTTGTATGATTTCAATGTTTAAATTTATTGTGGCTTGTTTTTGGCCTAACATTTGACTCATCCTGGAGGATATTCCATGTGCACTTGAGAAGAATGAATTCATTAAGTCTAGTTAAAGTGTTGTTCAAGTCTTCTATTTCTTTTTTTATCTTTTGTCTAGTCATTCTATCCATTAATGAAAGTGGGATGCTGAAGTCTCCAGCTATTATTCTTGATCTATCTCTCCCTTCATTTCTGTCAGTTTTTGCTTCATATACTTTGGAGCCTGATTGTTGTAGTTCTTGCTCATGTAGTGACTTTTTTGAACTAATTCATACAGTCTATATTCTTTGTTGTGTGTGCCCACTTAAGTCTGTTCCCTTAGCTTAGTGTTCAGCTGGTGATTCCACAAAGATCTCCTTAAATGCCTGGAACCAGAAAAACAGTAACAAAAACACTTCCCAGTCTTTGAAGATGGGATGCATGTGTCAGGCCATGCCTTCAACACTCAGTCTAACAGTTTTCAACTCTACCTTAGTCTTCAATTCCTGCTTGTGCAGAGCCTGAAGATCAGTCAGAGGTTAGAGTCAGGGAATTCTCAGTTCTTTCTGCACATGTGTCCAGCCGTCTAGATCTCTAGGAATACATAGGAGATTTCCAAATCCTTATTCTCCAAAGCATCTCACAGCCCAGCCTTTCCTCCCAATCTTTTTGATTAGTCTATGTTTGCCCCAACTGTTTATTCACTGTCCCAGGTGGCAGCAGCTAATACATTTTCCATTAAATATTTGTGACAAATGCCCTCCCAAGTAGCCACCTCAGCCCTGGGAGAGTTCTGAGTTATGTAAAATAAGGACAAACCCTTTGACTGGGTTCTTCAGGGAACCATGACAAGTTAAAAGAAATTGTGTCTTTCTCAGTCTTGTATTATGCAGCAACCTCTCATTTTCTTTCCAACTAAACTTGCCAAGAACAGTCTATAATCATGATCACATTCCCTCTTCATACTTCGGATTTTTTTTGACCCATGTGATAGCCAGAATAACAGCACCCAGAGATGTCCATTCCCTAATCTTTAGATACAAGAGACAATATTAAAGTTAAAGGACTTTGAGATGAAGAAATCATCTTGGATTTTCTCGGTGGTCCCAATCTAATCACAAAAATCCTGAAAAGCAGAGAAACTCTCCCAGCTGTGGTCAGTAAGAGAGAGAGAGAGCACGCAGTGTGACAACAGAATGGAAGGTCAGAGACGACAGTGTGAACAGGACTTGGCTCACCACTGCCAGCTTTGAAGATGGGAGAAGGAAACCACGAGGGCCAGAAAGGAATGCAGTCCTACTGATGCCTTGATTTTGGCCCAGGGAGACCCACATTGCACCACTGATCTACAGACCTGTAGGATAATACATTCATATTGTTATAAGCCACCAAGTTTATGGTAATTTGTTATGGCAGTAATAGAAAACTAACACAACTTACTATAAATAAGCACCCCCACAACATCTCTGAAATTTCTCTAAAACTTGACAATTACTTTATAATCAACAATTTCAATAAATTATTTAATACTCATCATAACAGGACTTTTTTGTTGCACCATTGCTGAACTCCCTTCTTGAAGATTTCTTTTTAGCTCACAACATCAATCTTTCCTGGTTCTCTGACTTTCTGGATTACTCCTTTCTAGCCTGCTTACCTGGGTTTTCTTCTTTTGCTCAGTACCTCATTTTATTTATTTTTTAAATAAGTATAACCACAATACCATTATCATCACTGTCCCCAAGCAATAATGCCTAGTCAAATATCCAGTCAATTGCCTCATGTCTTATAAGGTCCAGAGAGTCACATGATTGGCTATACATCTTTTATGTTTCTTTTAACCTCTAAATCCCTCTTCCATACCCCCTTCTCTACTCCCTTAGAATTATTTTGTTTTAAAAACTGGATTATCTCATAGTTCAGATTTTACTAATGGCATTCCCATGGTATAGTTTAACATGTTTCTCTAGCCTCTGTGTTTTCTGTAACTGATAGGTAGATCTATACTAGCTCTTAAATATTGATGCTCCCTAAGGATTTGTATTTCTCCTACTTCTGTTCATACCCGTAAGTTTCCAAATCTTCTTTTACTTGATTTTAGCCCAGGGAAACCCACAATGGACCACTGACCCACAGACTTGTAGAATGATATATTCATATTTTTAAGCCACCAAGTTTACGGTAATCTGTTAAAGCAGTAATAGAGACTGCTATACTTCTGAATACTAAAGCCATATTGTTCACCATATATTAGTTTATTCATTGTTAAGTGACCCACAGAGATCTCAAATTCAACATGCCACATCATTAATATATTAATCCACCCTCCAACAAAATCTGCTACTTATGCTCCTTTCATGCCAGCCAGAACGTATGCATTTACATCAAATTTTATCCCATTCACACCTAATATGTAGACAATAAATCCTTTTTACTGTTTTCCCAATGCTCCCCCATTCACTAACACCTAATCTATTACAATAGTCTCCTAACTGGTTTTTCTATTTACAGAGCCCTCAGGTCTATCCTTTACACAACAAATTGATAAACTTTTTCTGTAAAATTCCAGCTGTAACTATCTTAATTATTTTATATAAATAGATTTATATAATATATATAAATTTACTAAATATTTTAGGCTTTGCAGGCAATACAGTCTCTGCTATAACTAATCAATTCTGGTCATAGCATGAAAGAAACTGCAGATAAAATGTAAATGAATGAGCGTGGCTGTTTTCCAATAAAACTTTATTTCGAAAAATATCTGTGGGTCTTGGTTTGCTGACTCCTGCTCTACACTGATAAAAACATGATACTTTTAAATGGCAAATCAAAGTGTTTTTCTCCCCTCCTCAATCTGTGAGATCTCATTCTGTATTTCTATTGCCTACAGAATAAGTCCAGGCTTCTTAATATTGTAGTTCTTCATGATCTGGCCCTTGACACCATCGAATTTCAGAAAAAGATAATTTCTCTTTATACGAGAAGGGTCAACTATTCTACTTCCAATTTTCTATACTCTCACCTTTGTCTTTAAGCATTTCAATCACATCCTCTATAAGAGTCACCACGTCTTTGCTGTTCTTTGGATGTTGTAAGTTCACCCAAGTCCTGACCTCTTCAGGGAGAATTGTCAGGAACTGCTCCAGCACCAACAGCTCTAAGATCTGCTTCTTTGTATGAATCTCTGGTCTTAGCCACTGAAGACCTAGCTCCCATAGCTGGCTCAAGGCTTCATGTGGCCCAGACACCTCAAAATACTGGAAATGCCTGAACTTTCGACGAGAGGCTTCAGAGTCATATGTCTCCATGACTGGGGTGGTTTCCTGCTGCCAAGACAAATCTGATCTCAGGATCTCACTTTGTTCATGAGGAGCCAGGTTTTGAGGTTTTGAGATAGCCATCAACTTGTCCAGAGGCTGCATCTTCCTAGATAGAACTCCCACTGTAGTTTGAATTTGTCTTATCAAAGGGCTCCAATAATTCTCAGGCTTGGGCTAAGCACTTGTGCACTATATATAAACAGTGTGATCTCAGTAAGAGAAAAGTTCTAGGAGCTTCAGACACAAGGCCAATGTTCAGGTACCTGAGAGACTGAAAAAAGACACAAATATGACCTACAGCTAATGAACATGTATTAGCATGGTGTTGATAAAATAGTACAAATAATATTCTTAAAATTACTGAAGAAAACTAAATATGAATTCTCCTTCCATTCTTGTTTTCCTTCTATAGAAGAGGAAAGCATGCTGTCTCTATCCCCCAAGCAACTCTCAAAAAGACAGAAAAACAAACACAGATATCTCAAAAAAAGGGGTAAATGAAATAGTCTTTTCATTAAAACAAACCTCACAATTTAATTGCAATTAGATTACTCCTATATCAGGTAACAACTCATCTTTGCTTTAAAACTAAGTGAATATCCTGCAGACAGTATATTCAGGTTATTAAGGCTTCAATCTAGATGTGCCTAAAAATTCTCATTAAAATACCAATAAAGTTATATAAAATGAGTAAAACTGTCAATAGTACTAGAAATTAATGTAAGAGATTTTAAAAATATGAGAATAAATATCCATGAGCCATTCCACTGTTACGGATAAGTGAAAAAGTGCCTTCCAAGACTATAATAATTGAAAGTTCTCTTTTGTTAGAAGCCACTGTGGGTCAGTCTGCAATGCTCACAGGGAGGCCTTGGGCTCAACTAAACATCTAGATTCACAGGGCTACCATAGGTCATATTTGGCGCCAGATTACTCAGAGGGTTATTGGGCAGAAAACACAGCTTGCTAGCAGAAGAGTGAGCAACTGGCATTTTTTTTTCAGTAGGAATCCTCACAGAGGATAGCACAAGTGCAAGGAGATGAGAACCACATAGGCTGAGCAGAACCCATTTGACTGAAAAGCCTTCCCACAGGAGCCAATACCTAACACTTTATGAGCACAGCTCTCAGGGTTCCCACAGAGCTTTGCCCAATTATGAGCCATTACATTCAGGGAATTCAGATACAACTTTCTATCTGATTCACAGTTCTCCCAGTCCAGATGCAAGTTACCATTCAGGGGTAATTTCTATTATAAGACTCTAGGCAAGTGGTTCTCAGGGCAATTTTGCCACCAGGGGAAATCTGGCAATGCTTGGAGATAGTTTTGGTTGTCACAAGCGGAAGTAGTTACTGGCATCTAGACAGTGGAGGCCAGGGATGCTGCTAAACATCCTACAATGCACAGGGTAGCCTCTCGTAACAAAGAATTACGCAGCCCCAAATGTCCATAATTCTGAGCTTAAGAAGTCCTGCTATAGGCAATATATAGTGACTAAGAGTACATACTTTGGAGTCATACTGACATAAGGTTAAATCTCAGCTGTACTAGTTACTACCTGTATCAACCTGAGAAAATTATTTCACCAAGCTTCAGTTTTCTCAACTGTGAAGTGGATATAACAATATCTATCTGATTGAATTATAGAGACTAAAAGAACACTCATCTTACTTCTTGGCAGATTATCACATACATACGTGTATGTCTGTTAGCGGATCTTACAGACTAGCCAAAAGTTTGTGCACAAAAGTATTTCCAGACTTATCTATTGGCAATGTCCACTTGAATAGATCTTTAAACATTCAAATAAGGATTATTAAACAGAGTAGGGGAAGGATATATGGAAGCCTATGAAAAGATAGTGTAGCAGAAGGAAAATGCACAATGCTCAAAAGAGTTCGGGCAAGAGAACATTTTAGAATACGACTTTCTGTTAAAAAAAAAAAAAAAGTTGGTAATGAGCAAAACCTGTAAGACCAAAGGCAAAAGAAAACGTACTCTAGTTGATAAAGTTATTTTCCATGGAGGTATAGATTAACAATTCTGATACTGCTACTATGTCTGCTGGGATTGAATACGTAAATGGTTTGCAGCTACTGAGAGCCTCGTTTCTCAATGTTTGAGTAGGGGTTTAAATGTAACCAGAGGAAGGAGGCCAGAATGACCCATGCAGTACTGAATTAGAGTTAGAGATATCAATATGAACTTGCGTTTAGCTTAATATAGGTAAAGCTGGTTACATATAGAAATATTTATAGATATGTGTATATACAGAGGTTAGCATACACACACATATTTCCTTACCGTCAGCTGCGTGGGCTTGGCAGCAGGGCCACCCCAACAGCAATGAGAACACCTAGCTCCCAGATCTTGGTTTCTAAAACCATTCTCCAATAAAAGGAACCAGGGCTTCATGGAGAAATGGCTGATTCTAGAACTGGGGCAGGATATACGTATGAGCCCAGAGCATCTTGAAGTGCCATAAAATAAAGAAGTGCTCAAAAACACCTTTACTGGGGTATGTCAAAGGCAGACAGGAGCCAAGTGAAAGAGCTGTCAATGGCTAAGGCTGGAACAATGTGAGCAACAGAATAAAGTAATACAGGTATACCTCAGAGCTATTGCAGGGTTGGGTCCAGACCACGGCAATAAAGCAAATATTGAATAAAGCAAGTCACAAGAACTTTTTGGTTTCCCAGTGCACATAAAAGTTTCGTTTACACTATACTGTAGTCTGTTAAATATACAATAGCATTATGTCTAAAAAAAAATGTATATATCTTAATTAAAAAATACTTTATTGCTAAAAAGTGCTAACCATCATCTGAGCCTTCAGTGAGTAGTAATCTTTTTGCTGATAGAGGGTCTTGTAAAAAACGCAGTATCTATGAAGTGCAATAAAAGGAGGTATGCCTGTACTAGCTTATAACCCAAATTATAAAATAAATACTCATAAGCCATACTGATATACGACTGAATCAATCAATCAATAAATAAATTGGGGAGAATGGACAAATTTCCAATGTAGAAGAATTCCAAATAATTTACGTAGATACTAAGCGTTCAGTAGGTGGAGCATAACTCTCTACCCCTTGAGTGTGGGCTCTGCATAATTTCCTTCCAAAGAGCACAGTATGGGAAGGGGGAAAAAGAGTAAACTTACAGTGCAGAAACCTGACAAAGACTGCCTCAAGCAGGTGATAAAGGTTACCATCAAGAGTGGTAAGTCATGTTGATAGTATTTACCCTTGAGAAGATGTGGTGGAAATAGCACTTTATCTCTGTGATCTTCCTCCCCTAAACCCATAACCCCTGTCTAATCATGAGAAAAACATAGGTCAAATTCTAATAAATGGGCTTCCTATAAATACCTGATGAGTACTCCCTAAAACCATAATTTTCACTAAAAACAAGTCTGAGAAACTGTCACAGCCATGAGGAGCCTAAGGATATAAGACAACTAAATGTAATCTGGCATCTATTTTTCTGTAAATCTAAAATTGTCCTAAAATAATTTTATTTAAAAAAATTAGAAGACACTTGCCTGATGTCTGCAAATTCAAAGGGATGCATGGTAACTTTACAAAACGGACCTAGGGAGTCATTTGGTAAAACAGGATGAGATGAAGGTAAATACCAAATAGATTAGCAGACTTAAAATCTTGATTCAAAGCAGTAAAGAGCAGAAGGGGCACTTCATTGAACCAGTGATATGATAGACAAACCTAAAAGACTCTTCCAAAATGTGGAGGTAAAAGGAGAACAAAATTTTATAGTGAAAAATTAAAATCATGGAAATGTTTTTTCAAAGCAAAGTGATCCACACACATGGCAAAAGGAAAAAGAATGAAATAGTACGGTAACTTTCAGGATGGAAATCAAGTCTTCCACCCTACTCTCTTTTCTATACCCAGATTTACTCCACAGAGGTGATTTTTGAAAACTGTTGAAAATTTCTGGAATTTTTTTTGGAGTTATAGGAGATTTCCTTCACTTGACTTGATTAAAAACAAAACATTTCTACCAGGCATATTTTAAACTTAAGAACTCCTTTTTGTTCACTCATGGTTCTTTTGCCATAGCATTGTGCTTGTTTGGTTGTAGCAATATCATTTCAGATTTCTCTGATGATGCTGAGTTTTCTGTTTCCTAGATTTCCTTTTACTCTGTGGTCGGGGTTTCTATTTATCTTGGTTTATCTGGTGTTCCTTAGTTTTCTGCTCATATTTAAGAATCAAGTGTTAGGCTGATTATTCCAGACAGTCATATGAACTTCTACTTCTGCTGTATCACTAGACTAGTCTTCTAAGGGGTGTCTACCCTGCATGGGAGATCTTACTAAAAGCCATGTGTATATGGTTAAGACATGAAGATGGGCAGGCTTTGATACAGGGTGAGTAGGAGAGCTGGCTGTCAGGCTGGGGACCCCTCACATAACAGGGTGAAAAGGTTTTACTTTGAAATGTCAACACCCATACTAAAAGCCTTAGTTCTCCTCAAATGGTTTACTCAATCTATTTAGGGTAGTAGTTTTTGTGGGAGGAAGGCACTGGAGCTAAACTGCTCCTCTACATAGGTAGGGAGTGGGTGGGAGGTTGGAGAGATGACTGGAATAGATGTTTCACATGTAATCCTTTGCTTGATTCCTATGTTCTATTTGATTCTCACTCCCACACTCTGTCGAACTGCTTAAGATTCACATGGGCAGATGGGTTTCCACTTCCACTGTGGTCACCTCCTAGCATGTTCTAAGTTGCAGCTTTTTCTACACTATTTCTTTAAAATCACGTGTCTCTCCCCTTTCCATCTTGTAGAAATGTACTGACATCATTTATACACTCAGTAGTACCCCCATTACATGTCTGCCTGACACAGAGCAAAGTAGATGGACAAAGGGAAGATTCTGAGATCCAACACAAACCTTCTCCAAAACTTCAGGAAAGTACAGGTTCATTTCAAAAAAAAAAAAAGTGCTGAAGACACATCACTGAGTGTCAGCAAAAGACTGAACTATGGGCTCAGATACTTTAAAAATTAACATAAAAGGGGAGAGAAGGAAAAAAGCTCACAGACCCTACGTTAAAAACAAAACAAAACAAAACCAAGGAAGCATAAAAATTAAAAAAGAAAATGTAGAAATAATAACAAGGATAGCCACTGTAACAATAAATGTACTGGGTAAAAATTTAAACTCAACTATATAAACACTCAAGAGACATTCAAAACAAAAGAACTCCAGAGTTGAAAGTAAAGGGATAATTAAAAAAAGATAAGCAGCAAATATAAACAACAATAAAATATGCAGGGATATACTGAATTAAAAGCACAAATGCATTAAGTTAGACAAAGAGGAAACTTTCAATTATTGAAGGTACAACTCATTATGAAATATGACTTATTAAATATACCAAATAACATGGTTGAAATATATTTATAGCAAAACTCTCAGAAAACAAGATACGAAATTAACAATGATATAACAGAAATGTGAGACTAAGGCAACTTTCTCAGTCTTTCACAGAAAAGATAAACGAAAATTAAGTAATAAAATAGTGGATATGAATAATATCCTTAAGCCACTAGGTAAAACCAGATAGAATAATATATAAGAAGGCTTACAAAAGCTATTTATTAGGCTACCAAAAACCTCAGTAAGTAAAAAGTAAATACGGTGGTATAGACCACATTTATAACCAGAATGAAAACCAGAAATTAAGAACAGAGAAAAAAGTCTCAAACACTCTGAAATTTAAAATTTTTTTCTAAAAAACAACTCTTAAAAAAGATAAAAGTACAATTGTAAAATATCTAAAAATTAAATACAATAAAAACATTGCACATCAAAATTTACAGAGCACAGCTACATTAAACAAGAATGATATGAATTAAACATTCAACACAGAAAGTGAGAAAAAAAGCAACAAAATATACTAGGGATTTATAGGTCAAAACGTAAGTTAATAAATTACTGAGTATAAATAATCATACAGCTGGGAGGACAGGTAAACATGTTCAGAACGACACGCTTGCATTTAAGATTTCAAAGGAGGAACTGTTTGCACCATATAAAGTCCGAGAGGTCCGTGACGCGAGTAGCTAAATTGATCTGCAAGTGATGAATATTGGAATAAATAAAGTCAAGAAAAGTTTAATTTAAACTCTAACAACTGAAAAGACGCCTTCGAGGACGATGGTGGGACTCAGGATGAAGAGTTAAAATGCTGAGCCAGCGTCACAGGAAGGGGCGGGATTAGGAACGTGCAGGTAACGGGAATCTGGAGCATTAGATTAACCAGGTGACACAAATTCGAAGGATTTTACAGAGTCAAGGAACGTGAACAGGTGCTAATTATGGGGAAAGGGTAGTACCCACCTGTGAATACGGTTGCTTTCAACCGAATAGGTCATAGGTAGGGCAGCAGCTTGAGGTAAGGAGAGCCTTTGGAGACTAGCTCAGAAAGAGGAGCAGAAAGCAGTTTGCAAATAACTATCTGAAATAAGAACCACGCCTGGAGGTTTTAATGTTTTGGAGAGTGGCCAGGAATGATTGGGAAAGCAAGGCAAGTTAGAATTAACTTTTTTAGATTTTGTTTTCCAGTTGATTGATTCAGTCGCACCTGGTATTTCCATGAGCAATCAACACCAGTCATTCCAAAACCAGCTCATCATGATCTACTTACCAGGTTCAGCGCGTGGAGATTGCTCCCGTTACAGAAAGGAAGAAGGGACAGCAGCGAAGTTAAATTCCTGGTTTACTAGGACTGGATCTAGGACCCAGCCGCCCTGTATCCCACTCCTAACCCCCTTCTCCCTGCTCTCTTACGCACTAACTTCCTGCCGCAGCCCTCGCCTCCATCCCTCCGTCAGCTCGGGCCCTCCTCCAGCTTTCCCAGCAGACACTGCCGAGCGCAGCGCTGGAATCCGGGTAACTGCAAACAAGCCGAGGAGAAGGGCGTGTTCCGCGCGGACGCCCTCAAGCGGGATTCCCTATTCCACGCGCCCGCGTCCTCACCGCCCGCCTGACGCGGGTGATACCTGCCAGCAGGGCTCCGTTCAGCCACGCCCAGGCGCCAGTTCAGAGACTAGGCGCGGAAATCGCCATCCTGGCCGGTGAAGGGAGCTGGCGCTGGTAATCACGCCAGAACTAAGAAACCCTCGCCACACCCGGCCCTGAACTGCTGCCGCGGTCTCTGTCCCTCACAAGCCAAGGCGCCTTCGAAGCACTCCCACGCAGGCGCGCCAGCAATGGAAGAAGCCCCCAAAAGCCCCCGCGGCCGGAGTCTGTCAAGTAGACCCATGCTGCTTTGCCCAGTCCCGCCCCTTTCCCCAGGCCCCGCCCACGCCGTAGACTTGCGTCGGATCCTAGGCTCACCGGTGTCTGGATGCTGTGCTCTCTTGGCGTTGGCGAGGGAGTGCAAGTCAAACTTCGTTGCTTTCTGGAAGCTGTCAGGTAAAACTGGCCAAAACCTTTCATACGTACTTCTCGTCCCTTCCTTCTCCCTCTCCCCGACGTTTCCTCGGAAGCAAAAAACAGTGACAAACATTCGACAAGATGTCATTTTGTGTGTACCATGGTTTAACATGTTTTTCTCTCATTTAATGGCTCACTGATTCATTCAGTTTTGCATCGAGGTAAAGATCTTGCAGATCATGAGTTCACTTGTCGAGTATGAGATACTTTGAGGCATCCGAGAAGCACTGTCAAATAGGCAGTTAGATATAGGCATCTGGGGCTTAGAGGTGTCTGGAGCGAGACACGTACAATTTGTGTCACTTCTGGGTAGCTGATAATTAATGTTATGAGTGAAGATGAGATTGCAGAGAGAGAGGAGAATCAAAGGAGAGAGTCTAAGACTGAGTCCCAGAGGAAGAACCTAAATTGGTAGGGAGCTTCAAATCGAGACCGTGAGTTGACCAGGTAAAACAAGGATTTTTTTATACCTGGGAACTAGGATGTTTTGGCTAACTTTCTCTGTACTCAGTGCTATCATAAGCAAATTATAAACATCATCTCACTTAATCATGACCACAATACTATAAGGTAGAGATTTTCACCCACAAGTTCGTTGAAACTAAAAGATGACAAAGCTAAGCTTCAAGCTCAGATCACTTCATGCTTGTCCCACTGCTTCTCATTCAATGCTTCAAGATTTGGAGGCCCATTAGTAAGGTAGGACAGAAGTGTGGAATGATATTTTCCAAGATTGGGGGTATGGTGTGTGTCATGAATTGTTTGTGATGGAGCTGACCTTTGTAAAAGTTGTATTTAACTAGCTCTGAAAAATAAAAATTTAACTTGAAAATATTGCCAGTAAACAGGCTCAGACATGATCTCCAGCCAAATAAGAGTGCAGGGAAATGGAAAAGGCACAGACTAGGAGGGAGAATGACCAGCCTTCCTAACATACCTCTAGTGGGCATGAGGTTTCTGACTATGTGTCTTCAAAGGTCTGCTGAAGCCTGGACACTTCTTCCTAGTTGAACAGGGTCATTTTCAGGTCGCAGTCATCTCACGGAAGCTCCAGCTATTTTTATGGCACAATTTCACAAGTTTCTCTCAATATATGACTTTCAATGTAAAGGACTCTGAAGCCACCTGGGACTAAATCCTTAAGATGTGCAGAATTGTTGGCTACAAATGCCATTCCTTTCTATCATCATGAAATGCAGCTTTTCTAAATTAGAGCCTGTCTGTACTTATTTAAGGAAAAATACAGAGAAAACTTGATCTGACTTAAGCCAACACATTTCCTAGATCACTTATATATTCATTCAGCAAATTTTTATTGAGAATCTAGGCTTTGGGAATATATTAGTAAGAGAATTAAATAATTAGAATTTATTAGTAAACATGATCAGATGAGGACTGTCTTAACACCCTGTAGAAGCATTCCCTATGCTAAGCTATTGTATCTCTTCACTCAACCTTCTGTGTTCTACACTTTATCAGAATACTGCATTGTATAGATTGTGAGAAACACTTGACAGTCTGGAATTTGTGGGTAATGAAGACCTTGGTGGGGTGATTTGGTTGCACGGGCCGTGTGTAATAACATTTGTCAATTTTTGGCTTCTGATCATCTGAATACCCTTTCTATGTTCATAGTCTTTTGTGACTCTTGGGGGAAGTTAGAGTCTGCCTCCCTCCATGGAAGCTAAATACACCCAAAATTCACTTTCTTTGTCTCCACTGCAGCTAGGGCACAGCATGTAATTTGGATTCAATCAATTAGATACACCCAGTCCAGACTTATGAATTAAGAGCTGGTGATATAAAAAAGCAAGGACGGCAAACAGTTTCTTTTCTTTTCAAAAAATAGACTATTTTTTAAAGCAGCTTTATATTTACAGAAAAATTGAGAAGATAGTACAGCAAATTGCCACCTACCCACACACAGTTTTCCGCATTATTGATATCTTACATTATTATAGTACATTTGTTACAACTAAGAAAATCAGATTGATACCTTATTATTAACTAAAGTGCATAGTTTATTCAGATTTCCTTGTTTTGTTTTGTTTGTCTTTCCCCTTCTGTCCTTTTCTGACCCAGGATCCTATCTAGGACACCACATTACATTTACTTGTTGTGTCTCCATGGGCTCTTCTTGGCTGTGACAGTTTCTCAGACTTTCCTTGTTTTTGATGACCGTGACAGTTTGAAGCAGGACTTGTCAAGTATTTTGTGGGATGCCTCTTTACTGGAATTTATCTGACATTTTTCTCATGATTAGACTGGGATTCTAAGTTTTGGGGAGGAAGTTCACAGAGATAGAGTGCCATTTTTGTCACATTGTATCAAAGCTACATACTATCAACATGACTTATCACTGGTGATATTAACCTGCATCACCTGACTGATGTGGTGTTTGCAGACAATTTCTTTTTCTCTTTTTCTGTCAGTGGCAGAGGAAGCAGCAACACCCTAGTTTCCAGGCTCAGCAGCAGGGCCTGTGCTGATGGTGATCACAGTGTAGATTGCACCATCTAGTGCTGAATGGCAGTGATGTCCTTATTGGACTGTAATATGATTTTGGCCTGTGATTCTAGCTGCAGGACCAAAATTACCATTATTTCTATATTTTCTCTTTTAATTTAAATCATGCATAGTCAGTTTCTGTTATTTGCATCTAAGAGCCCTGGTAAATACATCATCTTTATGGTTTTGGGGTGTATGTACTAAATATATTTTTTCTTTGGAAGCTTTCTGGCCCGTGATTTCCCCTCTCTCTCTGTAGCATGAGAGGTAATAGTTTCAAGCAGCCAGTTTTTTATTGGTAATGTGAAAAAGCCCCGCTGGCATCTGTTTTGATGAAATAAACGGGAGCATGATTGTCTCAGTGCTTCAGTTACCCATTTCTGCATAGCAAACCATCTCAAAACTTAGTCCCTTAAAACAGCAACCGTTTGATTTTGCTCTGGATTCTGTGGGTTCAGAATTTGGAGAGTGGGGATGCAATGACCTGTAATGACCATGGGAGTGAGTGACAGAGGTAATGGGGCAATGAGGATCAAGGAATTCTGAGAATGCAGAATATTTGAATATTTCAGTCTGTATCAAAATTAAAATCACCAAGATCTATAACAGCAGCAGTGTGTTGAGGAGGGTGGCAGTGAGCCAGGGATTAAAGTCTTCAAGGAAAAGCAGGGAGTGACCTAGGAATCTAAAATAAAATAAAAAGGTCACAATCCCACTTTCCCAGACACACCTTATTTCTTCCTTCTTACTCATGGTGAAACTTCTGGAAATTAGTGTCTACACTTTGTGTTTCCATTGTCTTATTTTCCCACTCGTTACTGAAATAGATCTTGTGCTGATCATCATTGTCAGCCAAGTCACCGACTTCAACTATTAATTTTCTGTCTTATATATGTCACCTGGACTAGCACATGTTGTTTGAATGAGGGCTTTTCCCTGATCATCACACCCCAGACTAGAGTTTGTCTATTGTAATGCAGCTCTAGTAATTTTAAAAGGATAGTAACAAGTGCAAAAGTGTGTATTAAAACACAGTATGTGTCAGTCATTGCTCTGGATGTATTGGATACACCTAGAGTTGGACAAGATGAAATGAAATAAGGGTTCAGTAAGTGGTTTTAAAATGAACACATGGATGCATGAAAGAAAGAAATAAGAAATTTAGCTACTAGATATCTCTTTACTGGAAATATCTTCTACTGCAGAGTCAATTTGAGATCTGTTGTTCCTGGACCCATGTTCATGGTAACTGTAGAGTGGTTACCATGGAATCATTAAACATATGATTAATTCAAAGTTTGGGTAAAAGAAAGAAGTGGCTGTCAGCCACTTTATTTGGCCTAAGGGTTTATGAGAACCTGAAGTAGACTCTGGAATTGACCATTCTAGAGAAGCTGAGTCACAGTGAGATGTGGCGTACAGGCACCTAAGCCTTTGGAGGGGTCAGCCTTGGATTGGTAAACTCCAATTTCTAAAATTCTAATTTCTGTTTTGCTTTCTGAAGAGACATTCATTGGGTAAATCAGGTTCGATCAAAGGAGGATGATCAGGATAAATACAGGGTACCAAGGCATGTTAGATGAAGGAATTTTAAGGGAACAAGTGGGTGATTCACTGTGAGAATTGTATATAGAAACTGCCTTCAGTGAGTTGTGGTATAGAAGGTAATGGAAATTTTTCTAGGAGTAAAACTAGGGGAAGTGGGTTCAAGATAAAGGAAAATTGATTTTGACTTACAATGAAGAACATCTTTCTAATAGTTAAAACTATCTGCATAAGAAAGAGAACAATCCAAGAGAGTAGGGAGCTATGTCATTCTTGTTTAGGCAATCACTTGACAGTTATTCAATAGAAATATTATGGGATAGTTTAAGACTCAGACATATGGTTGCATTAGATGACTGTTGAAGTCCTTTTTCACTCTGACAGTCTATGCTTATATGAAATCAGAAGTGACGATATACAGAACTTTTTTTCTGGAGCTTTCAGGGGAAAACATGAACTAGGAAGTATTATTGCCTCTGGTACCTTTTGTACAAGTTGAAATGCTCTGGGCCACAAATGATCCCAGTATTAAAGACTCTTGCAGATATGCTGCTTGTTTTAATCAGAATGTATTCCCAGGTTTGTATGACTGGAACATCTAAACTTGAAATGTCTTTGATCTTAGAATCATGCATGCAACTCATATTAGACATTATTTCAGGACAATCCAGTTTTAACATCCTAGATTTAATTGTGATCATGCTTAAAACATGTCCATGTTAGCTAAATTAACCAAACTCCTTCAAAATAGCACTTGACACTTTTCATAATCAGGATGTAAACGAACTTTTTATCTTTTTATTTCTCCCCTATGTTCTAGCATAGAGTAGAATATTCAGTTTCTAGAACATATCCTTAACTTTCCTCCTTCTTCCTGATATGACTTAATTCACAACGGCCTATTGAAATTCTGCTCCTCTTTTAAGTGTGTAACCATAGCTCTAAAAATCAGACCCAGAGATCACTGTCTCTGTGAAAAGGACTTTCTTCCAGCTAGTTTCCTAAGAGCTCTTTTGACATCCTTGTTTTTCAGGCTGTAAATTATAGGGTTCAACATTGGAGTCACCACTGTATAGAACACAGATATCATCTTATCTTGCTCTTTTGTAGTCTTGGAGTTTGGCCGCATGTAGGTGAATATTCCTGACCCATAGAAGAGGACAACAACAATGAGATGGGAGCCACAGGTGGAGAAGGCCTTAAGCGTACCCTCCCCAGACTGCATCTGGATCACAGTGGAGATAATATTCCAGTAGGAGACAAGGATCAGGGAGACAGGAGCGAGCAGGATGAGCACACCCATTGCAAAGATTGCCATTTCTGTGCTGTAGGTATCTGCTGAAGCCAGCTTCAGGAGGGCAGGAGGTTCACAAAAGTAGTGATTGATAATGTTCTGCCCTCCATAGGGAAGTTGGAAAGTAAAGGTGGTGTCCACCAGAGACACTAGTGCCCCACTGACCCAGGATCCTATGGTCAACTGGAGACACATCTGTTGGGTCATGATGGTGGAGTAGTGCAGGGGCTTGCAGACCGCCACATACCGGTCATAAGACATCACTGCCAGCAGTGCACATTCTGTACACCCAACCAGAAGGAAGACAATTATCTGTGTCATACACCCCAAAAAAGAAATAGTTTTCTTCTTTACCATGAAGTGGACCAACAGTTGAGGGACAATGCTAGTAGAGAAACAGAGATCTGCGAAAGAGAGATTTCTAAGAAAAAAGTACATGGGCGTGTGAAGTTGAGAATCCACAAAGATGAGAATGATGATGAGTAGGTTCCCAAGCACGGTCAACAGATAAATGCTGAGGAAAAGAACAAATAGCAGGATCTGGGTCTGCCAGTCCTGTGAAAGGCCAAGGAAGATAAACTCAGCCACGAAGCTTTGGTTTTCTTCTCCCATTGAGATTTATGCCTGTTTACCTGTTTAGCACAAACAAAAAGAGCAAACTTTGGGTTTATGATGTTAGTTCCTGTAGAAGAAGCTCATTTAAAACTGATGCCTAATTGGATATTTCAAGTTTTTGCTACCCAACTTCTTATTGATACTAAATAGAGTATTTTAATTTTTAATTGGTTATAATTTAAATCTACTCATTTTTTCCCCAAATTCCCTCTTCCTAAGGGTTGCTTTTTTTTTTTTTATGAAGAGTATGACATTGTTAAAGCCTTCTTTACTAATTCTGAAATTAGGATAGTAGAGTTCATGTGGATTTTACTAAATGGCTATACACATACTGTTAAGAAATTTTTGTGTGTACTATTAGGACTATCGCCATACATCAAACTATACCACTAACTATTCAAAAATACTATATACTTAATTTTAATATATCTTGGAAGAATATAAAATAGCTTTCAGGCCTCAAACTTAATTTGACCTCTTAAAAAACAACAAACTTTACTTGGGTTTAAAAATAAAACCTTAGCATTTCATACACTAAGGACCATTCTACTTGGATTAAAGAGTAAAATATTAAAACTAAAACAATAAAAAAAGAAAAAGGTTACAATTTTCGTTATATCTGGAGAGGACCAGAGCTGAAAAGCATGAAAGCCTTGTAAAAAACCATCAAGCCAAACATGTATAGAGTTTACAACATAAATTGAAAGACTTCTGTGAGATAATATCATGAAGAAAATTAAAAGATAATCTACAAACTGAGGAAAATGGTTCGAGGAAGATGCCAGACAAAAGTAAAAATGCTGTAGGGGCTGACCTGGTGGTGTAGTGGTTAAGTTCGCGTGCTCTGCTTTGGTGGCCCAGGGTTCACTGGTTCCGATTCCGGGCGCAGACGTATGCACCGCTTATTGAGCCATGTGGCAGGAGTCCCACGTATAAAATAGAGGAAGATGGAAACAGATGAAGCAGACGTTATTAATCTTATTTTGCAGATGAGGAAACTGAGGCACAGTTATTTGCCCCAAATCACACAATTAGTAAGTGGCAGAATTCATTAACTGTATAATGAGGGTGCAGAGAAAAAGATATTTTTGTACAATGCAATTGGGTAGGAAAATTAGTACAATCTTTCTGGAAAATATTTTGCTAACTGTATTTTGCCGAATACATTAAAACACTTAAATGATCATATGCTTTGACCCAGTTCTCAGTAGTATGGGGGAGGGAGAAAATCCTTTTTAAGAGTCCTTTCTTCCCCAGGAGGAGCTAAAATCTGACTTGTAACATTCCGGGATATTGATTGCCCCATGGTTACTACTGAGTAGGGTTACTGTGCTTGAAAAGGTCATGCACATTTCTATTTCCTCTCTTCTTCTGGAGACTGGACTGATAAGTTGAACAAGGTCTCCCTTAAGACCATGCCCTATTCTCTTGTTTTTGAATGGTGCCTGGGTGTGTTCACCACCACTGTGTTTTGCCAGCCGGAAGGTAATGTGATGATACAATATGGATTTAGACTGTAAGGGAATTTGAGGTCCTTGACGGGATTTAAATTAGACCAAGTATCCTAACCCAAGCTTGTCTGAGCTCTGAACTTGAGTGATATTAGGAACTAGCCTGATAAATAAAAGTGGTGCTTTTTTTTCATTGTTCTTTGTTTCTTTTGTAGAACTCTAAGGGAGGAATGTCCAGGATTAGAGTAGTATTGGGTAGAGTTGTATCAGGAGTTCCTGAATCTCCTAGGCCTAATAGCATCTAATATCCCCAAAAGTTACTCCAATTTCTAAATCCAAGTCTAGGAATCCATTCTAAGTAAATACTCTAAATTTCAGAGAATGTTCACAAGAAAATATATTTGTCACATGGTGTAATAAAATAATGGTTATCAACAGACATATAGACCAACAGAACATAATGGAGAGCCCAGAAATAAACCCACAATATACAGTCAACTGATCTTCTACAAGGGTGCCAAGAATACACAACAGGGAATGGGTAGTCTCGTTAATAAATGGTGATGGGAGAACTGGATATCCACCTGCCAAAGAATGAAACTGGACACTTACCTCACACCACATACAAAAATCAACTATAGTTAACAACACTGCTTTGTATACTTAACATTTTGCAGATACGGTAGATCTTAAGTTAAGCGGCCTCTCATACACACACACAAATAATAACAAATAAGAAGGAGAGAAGAAACTTTTGGAGGTGATGGTTATGTGTATGGCATAGATTGTAGTGATGGTTTCATGGTGTATACTTATGCCCAAACTCATCAAGTTGTGTACAGTAAGTATGAACAACTTTTTGTATGTCAGTCATTCCTCAATAAAGTGGTTGAAAAGGTGTAAATAATTTAAGTAGCCAACATTAGAGGATTAGGTAAATTATACTTCTGTAATATGGAATACTATGCTGTGAAATCATTTAAATAATATTTTTGAAGAGATTTAACTAACATTGAAAATACTTTTTATGTAGGCTTAATTGAAAAATACAGGACTTAAAATTTCATACATAGTGTGCTTTCAAATAAATGTTAACTGGAATGGTAAAAGGGGGCATGATATGAGCACAATATTGAGAACAAATAGGCACAATATCTATTTCTCTGGCTGTAAGTAGAGGTACCAAAATTAATGAAATGTTCTCCCTATTCAAAAAACCACTTCTCTCCCACAATTATTTCTGAAATTCCACAGGGAATAACCTACCTGTTCTCAACACTTTCAGCCCCAAAGTAATATCTGTCATTTTCTCTTTCGCCTTCTCTTGTTGTCTAGGTGTTATCTGAACACGACTGTTTCCTCTGCACCTACAGATAGTGATTATTAATATCACTAATAATCATAATGACAATCACCTTCCATTGGTACTGACCAAAAGTGTTTTTGCTAATGCCTTAGGGACCAATGCTAATGTGTGTTTTCAAAATGCACAGAAAAGTCTGAAAGAACAAAATTTCTAAAATGTTGAGAGTAATACTCTGGTTACTGAAATTATGGATGCGTTATTTTTCTTTTCTAATGTTTTGTGCTTTAAAGTTGTTCTTTGAAAGGCCGCATATTGCCAATATAGGAAAAATATAAAACTGGGAAAATCTAAACAGCATTTAATTGAGGATAGTTTAAACTAAAGTCACTTTGTTGCTTTTACTTTCAGTCTTGATAAAGTAACTAGTATGGGACTAGCCCTCTTGCTAGAAGCAAATATAAAACAAAATATGGAACAACCATTTTCAGACACTGGACAGTAGTCAGCTCAGAAAGAAATCCTGTATATCGTGGAAACGAAAGAGGTGATCCCCATGATCACAGTAGCTTTATGGCTGGAAGCACCCTCAGCACTATGGTTTGTGGAACTGGAGCCTAAGCAGAGCTTGATGGCCTTGTCGAGTTGAGGAGACAGAAATCCATAATGGATAGCGCCAAAACACCTGTAATTTGTGAAAGAGAGTATCAGAAAGAAAGTAGCTACACAGTAAGGGGGCTGCACGAATCTGTCCACGTTTTGGCTGAATACTAAGCTGTGTATGCACAGGAAGCCCCCCCAAAAGCAACTATTAGGGAGTTCAGGTGAAGCTGCAAGATTTGGGAATCCCAGCCACCCAGAGTGGAGGAGCTTCATTGAAAACTCTGAGTTGCTACCTCAGAGAGGACAGGTCTTAGGAGCAGGGCTGTGATGAATTAAGGATGCATATTGTAACCCACAGAATAACCACTAACATATAAAACAAGTTATAGCTAAAAATCAAATAGAAAATATAAACTGGAATAATAAAGAACACTCACTTAAAATGAAATCAAGAAAGATGAAAAGAACAAAGAATAGATGGATAAAATATAGAGCAGATAAGATCTTAGACTTAAACACAATGGTATCCATAATTACATGAAAAGTAAATGGATGAAACATTCTAATGAAAAGGAAGAGATTGTCAATTGGTCAAAAAAATGAAGACCTGAAAACATTTTGTCTACAAGGGACACATTTTAAATATAAAACCACAGTTGAGTGAAAGTAAAAGTATGGAAAAATATACCATGCAAACACTAGTCATAAGAAAACTGGAATGACTGTACCAATATCAAAGTAAACTTCAATATAAAGAGTATTGCCAGAAATAATGAGAGACACTTCATAATGATACAAGTGTCATTCATCACAAAGACAAAACTATACTTAATATGAATACACGTAGTAACAGACCTTCAAAGTACATAAAGAAAAGCTGATAGAAATAAAAGAATAATTAGAAAAATTCACAGATATAGTTAGAGATTTCAATACTTCTCCTGATAGAACAGAGAAAATCAGTGGGATATAGATGACTTGAAGGACACTAACAACCAACTGGACCTAATGGACATTTGTAGAACACTCCACCTGCCAAGCACAGAATGTATGTTCTTTTCCAATGTAAAGGGAACATATACTAATGATAGACTATGTATGCAGGCAATAAGCCAAACATCAATAACACAGGATTGAAATCATATAGAACACATTCTCTGACCTGAACAGAATTAAATTACAAATCGATACTAACAAAAGGATATCTGGAAAATCCTCAAGTATTTGGAAATTATCACACTTCAAAATAACTCATGGATCAAAGAGGAAATCAAATGAAATTGTAAAATATTTTAAACTGAATGATAATGCAAATAACATATTAACAAATTGAAATTCTTTTGAACTTTTGAAGAATGGTAGTTACTATTTCATTTACCTAGTTCATAGAGAAAAAAGAGAAAGTCAGTTAATTTTTAAGAAGTTGGCATAAAACCAATTCCAATGAGATAGATATAAAGTCTAAATAAAATAAAAACATAGATTACAACAGTATTCCAAAAGAATAAAGCATCCTGACCAAGTGAATTCTTGCCAAGAATGCTCAGATAGGTCAATATTAATAAGTTTATTAAAACAATTCTTCATATTAGCAGATCAAAATGGGAAAAAATAATCTCAGTAGATGCTGCAAAAGACATTTGATAAAGTTCATCTTTCATTCCTGATAAGCACTTTTAGTAAAATAGGAACTTAGGTGTATTTCCTTTTAGAAGGAATTTGAATATACTTCTGTCTTATGATAGTATATATTATTTGAAATAAAAAGCTAGCATCATGCTTAAAAGTGATATATTAGAAACATTCGCATTTAATTCTGGGTTAGAAAAATGTGTGTTTGCAAAGAGTTAATGCAATAAAAGTTAGCAATAGAATCTAGAAATGAGAGGTATAATTATTGGAAAGGAAAAGGAAAATTTATTATTAATTGTAGATGATTTTATTTTCCATCTGGAAATCTTAATAAAATATACTGAAAACTGATTAGAAATGATAAGAAATCTTTAAACAAGGTAGTTTTCTATACATATTTTTTCTTATATTTTAATGAGAACTAATTGCATAATTAACTAAAAGTAGATACAATTCATAAAAGCAACCTATCCCAAATATTTAGGTGTGAATTTAACAGAATATGTTCAGAACTAGCACAGGAGAAAAATCATTTATACCCTAATGAGGAACATAGAAGTCAACATGAATAAATGGAGATTCAACTTTTTAAATTTAAAATTCCTAAATGGGAAATTTAAATATTATAAAGATGTCAGTTCTTTCCAAATCATTGATTCTGACATATTAATGTTCCTTATAATTCTTTTTGTAAGAGTTTGTTGAAAATAAATATTTCTGGGTTCTAAAGATTTTCAGTATGTTTGTTGTTGAACAAAGAAATTTACCTTTTTAATGAGTTTACCTGGTGATTTTGATATGATTATTCCATGGACCATATTTTGAGAAACATTGCCCAGTAACAATCTAAAAATCAACTGCAATTGTAATCAAAATCCATAAGCAGTTTCTGATGGGAAATTTAACAAGATAACTCTAAAGTTTTAAAAATCAAGAATATAAAGAATTCCAATGGAAATGATGGAAACAGGACATTAAACAGGCAATTCACAGAAAAAGTACAGTTGCCCAAAAACTGACCATGTAAAGAATGTTCATTCTCACTTGGAATTAGAGAAATGTGAAATAAAATAATAGTTATTATTTCCTTCGAATTAGATTAGCAAAGATGAAATAGACTGAAATCACCCATTGTATTTTTGAGAATGGGGCAAACATATGAAAAATGTAGGCATGCACATTTATAAAATCTCTCTGGAAGGCAATCTGAAAATATTAAAAATTTACAAAAGGGGTTTATCTCTTTTTTCCTGAACAATGCTATTTTTAGGCCTTTATATTTTGAAAATAATTATAGCTATGCATAAAGCTTTGTTTCAAACAATATTCACATATCGAATTGTTTCCAGAATAAAATAACCTACAGCCAAACAGTAGGTGATATGTTAAAGTATAGTTTTCCTATGTGGTATAATTTATACAGTATAGAGAAACAGTTGAAGATGTCTGAGTCACACAGACGTGTGTTGAATCCTTGTTCCTCCATTTCTTAGCTCTGTGGCTGTGGACAACTTACTTAGCTCTTCTTTTTAATGCTTCAGTTTCTTAATGTAAAATGGATATAACATCACAACTTCATAGTACGGAGGTAAAGATTAAATTAAGAACTTAGTGGAAAGTAATTTGCTCAATGTCTGGCAAGTATGTTACAGAAATGGCTGCCAAGATGATGATGATGATGCAATAACCTTAAGCCGTTAAAAGGTAAGTAGATCTATATTCTCCATAGAAAGATGTCTGACACACTGTTGAGTTAAAAAAAGTGGGTTGCAAATTAACACGTTGGGGTATAATTCACATATGGGTGTGGGTGTTTGTGTCTTTCATTGATGCCAATAGATAATACCCTTATCACATTGATAAACTCGTAGCACACAATAAAACTTAGAATCCAGGTAGAGGATGTACAGTATATATAAAGAAGAGTTATCTCTCTATCTCTCAAAGATAGGATTTGTAGATTTATGTACCTGTGTGTGAATATGTGGATTGGGGAAGAATGTGGTTTTAATCTCGAAACAGGAAAGGAGCGTAATAAATGCGTAAAAACGGAACTAAAAAAGATGAAATATCATTTATACTCCAAGGAAGGCCAGGAATAATTACTCTTTCACATTCTGAAGATTTCACATCACTTTGTCAGCTTTACTAATTAATTCAGCAATGATGTCTCTTTAATATAGAGAGAAAATGAGAGGAAAAAATGAGTTGGAAAAGTAGAATAAAGAGAAGTTAGAAGAAAGCAGAGATATGAAGCTGAACACAGAGGACAGGAATCCAGAGATGTGGAGAAAAAGCAGGAGGAAGAAAGGAAGACAGCAAGAACTCTGTTAAGTCTGGCTGTTTCCTCAAACTGAAAGGATGGGAAATGAATCTTTTATCCCTCTGAGGCCCTAACAACATTGTGACTAATATGGCCTTTGCAGATATCTTCTCTTAATGACTCTGTCTCTCATGCACACAGCTGCATACATGGGGATTATTCCTTGTCATACACACACACCACCTACTACATAGATCTGCTCGCTCAGCTTCACAAACAAGATCTCACACAAACACGCAGACATTCACATGTCACAGATAAACTCACATAAATATTTCACATTGTTATACATATCCTCATGGCCACCACATCTTTCACGACAACAAAAGGAGTCACATAGTAAGTACTGAGCAGCTTGGATACTGACCAATGCTGGGTCATGTGGGAACCCACCATGCCTGACTTGTACGGGACAGAAGTTGGAGTATGGGGTATACATGTGATGGCACCAGCAGTGGGGGCTAGTATCCTCCTCTGGACTAGAAGGACGGCACTTATTGTAACTGAACCCACTCTCCTCCATCTGCACTAACTCACAGGGAATTGGAGGCGGCAGTGCTAGCATTCCCAGAACCTAGGAATGCAGTGTACCTATGTTCCTGGAACCTTCACATCTCCCAGACCCAGAGCATGCTCAAGGGCAAGAAGCTTTTGATGGGGTTCCTCAAGGAAAGATTCCTAGTTTCCTTCCAGCTCCTGACCTGTTCAAGATGGTGAAACAAATGCAAAGTGAGGGGAACAATGAAGACTGAAGGGCTGACAGCAGAGGGCAGGAGAGAATCAGGCAGAGATGCTTTTCAACATCAAGAGGAAGTAATGTGAGAGAGTGCAGTCTCTGTGCTCTGTCTGGAAACAGCCTCATCCCTGAAGGAGAGTCTGGAAGAGGATTTTCAGGCTGGTGTTCAGGAGAAGAGTAGGAATAGAATTGTTGTCTTTGGGGGTCTAGCAAGGAACACATTGATGTGTCAGAGAGTAAATGACAAAATTTATCTTTCCTGACACCACGCCCACCTCCCAACCCCTAACCAGTATTGCAAGATCCTACAGACTGAGACCCTTCAGCAGCTATCCCTGTCTCACCTGAGGGCAGAGGCCAGGCAGAAACAGGGCTGAGGGTCATTGGTGAAGGGATGGAGTATCAAGCATGGAACGGAGTGATTTCCACAGCCTGCAGATCCACGCTTGAAAGGCAGCACCAGTTGTCCTTCAACTGGCTCCTGAGCAATACCTCCCAAGGCCTGCACTAGAGTCATCCTATGAGTGTGACTCCATTCCAAGCCTTTCTGCCTAACTCAGTTCAAGGTACAAACTCCAATTCTCCACTCCTCCTAGGTCCCTTCTGTACAGAGGATTTTCCTTCGAGGAAAGATTAAAGATGAGGTCCTGTGAGTGAGGTAAAGAGGGAGTTCCCTGGAGCTTTGAGAGCCCTTAACTTCATTACCTCTCCATCCTCTGAGACAAATATAGCACTCTGTGTTACATTTGAAATCACAGACCAAAGTCTCCAAAACATACCCACCCTCTTTCAAACCTTACACCAATGTCATTCAAAATGGCATCAGCAGATATATTCTTAAGAGTTCACAAGATGTCAAGCTTGCATTTTCACTTACATGGTAATTAAACAGAAATAAAAAATGAGCAGATACAGCCCCTCCTTATCCAGGGGGATGTGTTCCAAGATGCCCAGTGAGTGCTTGAAACCGAGGATAGTACAGAACCCTATATATACACCATATTTTGTCTATACATTCTTATTTGAGATGCGAGCAAAACTAGCACAATTTCTTTTTCCTTCTTTACAATTTCACAGATAGAAGATTCATTCTTACTGTAGATCTTAGCAACCCTCTTTTCACCTAAAAGAAGCACTTTATGGCTTCTCTTTGGCATATCTGAATTGCAGCATCACTACTCTTGCGCTTTGGGGCCATTCCTAAGTAAAATAGAGGTGACTTGAACACAAGCACTGCGATACTGTGACAGACTATCTGATAACTGAGATAGCTACTATGTGACTAAGGGGCGGGTAGCTGATACAGAGTGGATATGGCAGACAAGGGGAGGATGCATGTCCCGGGCAGGATGGAGCAGGATGGTGTGAGATTTCATCGTGATACTCAGAATGTCACGCAATTTAAAAGTTATGAGTTGTTTATTTCTGGACTTTTCCATCTAATGTTTTCGGACTGCAGTGACTGTGGGTAACTGAAATTGCAGAAAGCAAAACCTCAGATAAGGGGGACTACTCTATTGGATTGTCTGGATGCCACCTTTCTCACTGAGTGATGCAATTTGATCACAGGGCTTCCACTTTCTTTTCAGTTTATGGTGGTTTTGGTGCCATGTGATCACCTTAAGTGCTGAAATTTAATTTCATTAGAATTGTCCTAATATCAACATGACAACAGGGGTTCTGAGTGTGCTGTTATAGTAAAGTTTTTAAAGGTGAGTTTTATATCTAAATGGTGCATCCATATCATCTGAAGGCCAAACGATGTAAGAGAAAAATGGTGGCAGAATCAAGTGATCAGATGAAAGTGTAGGCGTGTAAGATTCAAGGAAATGCCCTGAGGGTGTTAGTCCCCCAGTCACATTTCAAGTGGCAATTTAGTGTCAGCAAAACATCATCTATCACATTAAGGAAATGCTATTAATTTGAATTCTATTGTTTTACTGGTTTTCTGGTTTGTCTTACATATTATTTGTGTTTAGTTTTGGTTTCATAGCACGTATAAATCGAAATCATTAAAAATAAATGGATTACATTCTATGATATAAATATGCCATGATTTATTTAACTATATCCATATTAATGGGCATTTGGTTATTTCCAATCTTTAGACATTAACAAAGTGCCACAGTGAACACCTTTGAACGTACATCTTTATGTCCTTGTCAAATATATTTGAAGAATAAGTTTTCTGAGGCTTAATTGCTGAGTCTAAAGGCATATTCCTTTAAAATATCAACAGATATTGTTAGTTACATTAATTTACACCTTCCATCAAAATTGCATGAAGTTTCTTATTTAGTTACACCTTTACTAACATTTGGTATTATCAAACTCTTCAATTTTGCTAGTCTGTTATGTAAAAAAAATCTCATTGTTATTTTATTAGATGATACTTTAATTATACTTGAAGATGAGAAAAGTTTTATGTTACTTATCATTTTTATTTCTTTCTTCTTGGAGGGACTATTTATTTTCGTTGCTCTTTTTCTTTTATTGAGCTGTTTAACTTTCTTTTACTGCTTTATAAAACCGTCGAATATTATGAAAAATTGGCGCCTTGATTTTGACTCGGAAATAAGTCTTTTTCCCCTTTGCCAGTTGACTTTCTTTATGGATCTTTTTTCCTTTTTTCTTTTAAGATTGCCCTGGAGCCAACATCTCTTGCCAATCATTTACGTTTTTCTTCTTCTCTCCAAAGTCCCCCAGGGCATAGTTGTATATTCTAGTTGTAAGTCCTTCTAGGTGTGCTATGTGGCACACTGCTTCAGCATGGCCTGATCAGCAGTGCTAGGTCTGTGCCCAGGATCCGAACTGGAGAAACCCTGAGCCTCTGAAGTAGAGGGCGCAAGCTTAACCACTAGCTCAGAGGGCCAGCTCCTCTTTATGGATTTTTGCATTACGCAAATGTTTTATAATTTAATCTAGGCAAATCAGTCTTTTTCCTTATGACTTCTGATTTTTGTGTTAATATTTGTCCTCTGTTATTGAAAGATTATGCTTTTTAAAGATCACCCATTTTTTCATCTAATATTTTCATAGTTTTGTTTACATATATGGCTTCATTTATATCTTAATACATCTAGAATATATTTTAGTGTAAGGAGTAAGGTACAGATCCTTAGTGTTTTTCCCCAATGGTCACTCAGCACCATTTATGGAAAAATTTTTCATCAAATTAAAAAGGCTTTTGTACAAGATACTAAACTCCTGATAGATCCAGTCTATTTTTATACTCACTTTGTCTGTTCCTTTTCTCACTTTCTATTTCTGTACAAGTGTCATGAAATCTTAATTTCTCCTGTTTTTTGCTTGTTTGTTTATTTGTTTGATTCTGAGGCACAGAGAATTGAATTAATTATATTCCTCAGTGTATGACATATCACTATGATTAGTGATTTCAAAGCCCCTCTCTTGTTTATTTATTTATACATTAATTTTATTTATTGTTTGCTTAATATATACCCATACCTCATTCCTGTTGATCTCATAACCATTCTTATGTATGCCATGCTTTTATTTTGTTCTCATAAAATGATTTTTTTGTGCATGTATTTTTTTTTTAAAGATTTTTTTTTCCTTTTTCTCCCCAAAACCCCCCAGTACATAGTTGTATATTCTTCATTGTGGGTTCTTCTAGTTGTGGCATGTGGGACGCTGCCTCAGTGTGGCTTGATGAGCAGTGCCATGGCCGCGCCCAGGATTTGAACCAACGAAACACTGGGCCGCCTGCAGCGGAGAGCACGAACTTAACCACTCGGCCACGGGGCCAGCCCCTGTGCATGTATTTTTAATTTATATAAATGATGTGTTATATGCTCCTTTGTTTCTTATTTTTTTACTCAGCTCTAAGTCTACTCTCTAAGATCATTCACGTTTCCACATGTACATCTAATGTCTTCCTTCAAACCGCTGTGGACATCCTTAGTGTTCATCCATTGCATTTTCATTTATCTCCTGTCCCACTGAAGGATATCCAAATTACACAACACCTGGCCAACACAAATAACTGAACCATAAATATCCCAGCAATGTACCACATGAGTCTGTGTGAGAATTTTTTTGGCTCTATATTTAGCATTAATTCTACCTTATAGAATATGCATAAGCATAAGATGACCAAATAACACTAAATTCCTTCCCAGAATGGCTGTGCATCTCTACATTCTTCCCAAATGTGAATGAGAGTTTCTCTATTTTCTACTTTTTTTTGCAACACTTTATTGCAGACTTTCTAATTTCTGCATATTTAATACAAGTGAATAGATACCTCTTTGTTTTTTAAATTTGTATACCTTTGATTACTAATGAATTTGAGTATTCCTCTATTCTTTATTGAAGACAAATCTCATATTTTAATGAAATCAAATTCATCACATTTTTCATTATGGTGTGTACTTTTGTAAGTCAGAAAGATGTTCTGTTTTTTCTCTTTAATGCCATTTTTCTAACTTTTAGACATTTAATCCATTTAGAGGGTACCTTCTTATATCATGCTAGGTAGGGATCCAGGTTTATTTTTCTCTATGTAGTAAGCTAATTTTACGAACATTATTTACTAAACTATTTGTCCTTTTCCTAATGATTTTTTGCAATTAACTTTGTAGTACATTAAATTTCCACTTGGGTTTATCTGTGAGCTCTCAATTCTGTTCCATTCGTTTATTAGTCTTCTTTTGCCCCACTTACCTCCTGGCTTTTATTTTTGTGCCTTGGCAATATGTCTTAATATCTGGTAGGGCATTCCTATCCTACCCCTTTTCATATTCTAATTGTGGATTTTTATGTGTCCACATAAATTTGAGAATAAATCTATTGTTACTAAAAATCTCGTTTTAATTATTATTGGTATTACCCTAAATTTATACATCAATTTGGGGAGAAATGATATCTTTATAGTATTAAAGTCATCTAATCCAAGAGATGAAATACTTCTGCATTTATTCAGATCATCTTCTACTTTACTAGAGCTGTGTTTGTTACCAAATTCAAACACAGGTTCATTTACCTGCCGCACTGGAGGGCCAATAAAGAAAAACACTGAAATGCCAGGCTTGTGGCAAGGAAAGAGATCTACTATCGAAAGGCAGCCAGACAAGGAGATGGGAGTTAGAACTCAGATCCACTTTCTCAAAGGGAAAAAGGTAAGGGTTTTATCTGGGGTTTTAGGTAGGGGAGGGAGAGCATGTGCTAGGGTTTTAGGTAGGGGAGCAGGGGCATGTGGCCTTGCTGGTTGGCACATTTCCATCAGCCTTTGTTTGGCCTTGAAGACTGAATTTCTTTTCCCTTGACTGTCTGGACTTTTCTGGATAGTTTTCATCTTCAGCCTGCCTTTGACCTTGTGAGGCTGAATCTTGACATCTGGACCTTGGCTTCCTGGGAAAGACAGCTCCCTCATATACTAAGGAGGAACAGGAAGACCTGGTTACTTTTAAACAATTGATTATGCTGAATATGCACAGCAGCAGTTAGCAAAGCTTATCTCACAGTTTTTTTGCTCTGGGGAAGACTTTTTGCCTTTGTTCTCTGTGTCATGTTTTTCCCTATGGAGGTCTTGTGTATTTTTTGTTTCTACATACTTTATAATTTTTATTGCTATTGTGAAATTGTACCCTATTTTAAAAATTATATTTTCCAGTTGATTATTGCTGGTTGAGAAATTTGCTTTTTGTTTTTTCTTTTTGGTTGGGCTCTGATCCAGGAAGTCTTTCTTTGCTACCTCTAACGACTTGCTCATTGAATTTTTTTGTTTTTGTTTTTTCTAGGTGGGTAATCACATGATCAGCAAATAGTACAGTTTTATTTCTTCTCTTCCAATTCTCATATATTGTATCTTTTTTCATGGTGTTTTAAATGACTTTCAGTACTATGCTAAACAGAATGGTGATAGCAACATTCTTGTCTTGTTCCTGGTCTTAGAGACTGCACCTAAAATTTATTAAATATGAGATATTGTTGGGTTTTTGTTGTATAATTGATGAGGTAAAAGAACCTTTATTGTATTCCTGGTTTACAAAGATTAAAAAATAACAAATAGGTGTTTTTCTTTAACAAATACTTTTCTTACATTGCTGAGATTATTATCTAATTTTTATCCTTCAGTATAATAATTCATAAATTTCTTTGTATGGTTTCTGATGTTAAAACATATTTGCATCCCAGAGACAATTTATATTTGATCATGCTGTATTATTTTTAAATACACTTTTGAAATCAATTAGCTCTAATTTTAGTTAGGATTTTTGCATCCACATTCCTAAGTGAAATGAATCTACATTTTTCTTTTCTTATATACACTATTATGTAGTTTTGTACTACTCAAATTTATGCAGGCCTTATAAAATAAGACAGGAAGCTTTAAGTTTTTTTCTTGTTTTTTAGGGAAAAATGTACAAAGAAAGTAATGGACTGTTTCATGAAAGCCTGGTAGAACTCAACTGTGAGACTACCCAGACCAGGAGTATATTGGGAAGGGAAGTCTTTGTGGTTTTATTTTCAGTGGTATTTGTCATTTCAAGTTCTCCTTCAATTATTTTGTGCATTAATTTCACATTTTATGTTTTCTATGAATTTATTCATTTCATCTATTTTAAAATTTATTGGCATATAGTTGTTCATAATAGTCTTTCATTTAATTAAAGTTTTATCTGTAATTATTTTCCTATTACCCAATATTTTATTTGATTTTCTCTCCTTTTAAAAAATCACTCATTTTTCAAATGAAAGTCACGATTTTTATTTTTTTACTTAAATATTGCATCAGAAGAGAAAAACATTGCTCCACATAATTTGCAAAAATGACCATGGGTTTGATTTATGTTGCTTGAGAAATAACAAAATCTTCAGAGCACCTTTGTCGTGCATTTTAATAAATACACTTGGGTCCCTAGTGTTGTCATTATTTTGTGTGTTTCTTCTACTATTTATTTATTTATCTAGTTGTGGTAAAATACACATCATAAAATTTACCATTAAAAGGAACAATCCAGTGACATTTAGTACATTCATGATCTTATGAAACTGTCACCAGTATCTAGTTATAGAACACTTTAGCACCCTGAAAGGAACCCCTCTACTGTTAACTGTACCATATCATCCCTCTCTTCAGCTGCTATTTGCCACTAATCTGCTTCCTATCTCTATGTACTTGCTCATTTTAGATATTTAAATAGAGTCATACAATGTGTGACTTTTGTGCCTGGCTTCTTCCACTCAGCATGTTTTCAGAGTTCTTCCATGTTGTAGCATGTATCAGCACTTCATTTCTTTTTAGGGTGAATAATATTCGTTGTATGGATATACCACATTTGGTTTATTCATTCCTCAGCTGATGGGCATTTGGGTTGTCTCCATTTTTAGGCTATTGTGAATAGTGCTGCTGTGAACATTCATGTACCAGCATTTGTTTGAACATTTGTTTTCAGTTCTCTTGGGTATCTACGTGGGAGTGGAATTGCTGAGTCAGATGGTAATTTTATACTTACCTTATTGAGGAATCACCAAGCTCTTTCTCACAGAGGCTGCACCATTTTCCATTCCCAACAGCAATGTATGGGGTTCCAGTTTACCCACATCCTTACCAATACTCCTTTCCTTCCTTCCTTCTGTCCTTGCTTCATTCCTTCCTTCCTTCCTTACCCGCTTCCTCCCTCCCTCTCTTCCTTCCTTTTTAAAAAATTATAGCTATCCACATGGTTGTTAAATGGTAGCTCATTGTGGTTTTTTAATTTGCATTTCCCAAATGCCTAATAATGTGGAGCATCTTTTCATGTTCTTGTTAGCCATTTGTATGTCTTCTTTGGAGACACGCCTTTTCAAGTTCTTTCTCCATTATTAAATTGGGATGTTGAATAAAGTTCTGTTCTGTCTAATAAAGAACACAAATGAAAATACAGGCACAGTTTCAGAGGACATTTTAATCTCTGAGAGGAATAGACAGATAATGCAAGGCAATGAGAGACAATGGGTTGGAGGTGGTACGTTAGTGCTTTTTAGTGTGAATAGAGGAAATGAGCCAAGCTTGTGGCTTATTATGGAAATAACGCTGTGATGTTGTGTCTGCTATTTTAGATGATCACTGACAGTTAAGAGTGATATTTGGGAGCTCCAGCTGAAGCTGGGGATGGGATTGCCAAAGAGATTATGGCAAAGTCTCTAGAGTTACCCCTTTGTTTCCTAGCTCTTTTAAAATAGGTTATTTTGTCCAAGAAAAAATGTCAGTTCTGCAAAGCACTTTCTCTCTTTTTTATTTCTTATACTTTAATTCCTGTCTTCTCAGGGAAGAGACAACAGGAACAGCTGAATGTCCAACGAATGAAAAAAAATCAACACTCTCATGAGATGGGGGAGGTATGGGAAGAGCAGCATAAGACTCAAGGGTTTTAGTTGATAATAAAGTGAAATTAAATGCCGTGACTTTAAAGATGAATTCAATATATGTTTTTATTATTATAAGTGTGATATTCTAAATAAAGAAGATGATTCTTTTGATCTACTCTACACTTGCCAGATGATGGCAGAAATGAATGCATCATTTTTAAGTATTAAGTTTCGCAGTCCAACCAAAGCAGCCCGATCACCTAAAAACTTTATAAAGGGGATTCTTGAAATAGTTGGTAGTGACTGGGGGCAATTCCTAAGCCCTCCAATGCTGAATTATATAATTTTATATGTTATATACACCTATGTTTAGCATACTGAAAAAATGGCAAACTATGACACAGACAAATCAGACACAGGTGACCAAATTCCTCCCTCTGGGACTCTCTGATGACCCACACACCCAGCAGCTGTTATTCATCTTATTCCTGGGTGTCTACCTGGTCACTGTGCTTGGGAATCTGCTTCTCATGTCCCTTGTTCAGGTCGACTCCCAGCTTCACACACCCATGTATTTTTTTCTCTTCAACTTATCTCTGGCTGACCACTATTTCTCTACCAACGTCGTTCCTCAGACCCAAGCCCACCTGCTATCCAGGAAGAAGCCCATTTCATTCACACGTTTTGTAGCTCAGCTTCTACTCTTCCTCATTTTTGGGTGTACACAGTGTGCCCTTCTGGCAGTGATGTCTTATGATCGGTATGTGGCCATCTGCAACCCTTTGCATTACCTGAGCCTCATGACGTGAAGGGTGTGTGCCCAGCTGGCTGTAGGATCATGGACGAGTGACATTGCTTTGTCTGTTGTGAACACCACGTTCACACTAAGGCTACCCTACCAAGGCAGCAATAGTATTGCTCATTTCTTTTGTGAGGCCCCTGCACTGTTGATCCTGGCATCCACAAATACTCGCACTTCAGAGATGGTCATTTTCCTCATGGGTGTCATGATTCTCCTCATACCTGTTTCTCTAATTCTGATCTCCTATGGCCGCATCATAGAGACTGTGGTCAGGATGAAGGCAGCTGAGGGAAGGCTCAAGGCGTTCTCTACCTGTGGCGCCCACCTCATGGTCGTTATTCTTTTTTATGGGTCAGGAATTGTCACCTACATGACACCAAAGTCTTCCAAAGAACAGGAAAAACTGGTGTCTGTGTTCTATGCAATGGTGACCCCCATGCTTGACCCCCTAATCTACAGCCTGAGGAACAAGGATGTGAAGGGATCTCTCCGGAAAGCAGCCACAAGGAATTTCCCAGCAGGCTTGGGATTTTCCACTGACAGTGACACCCTCTTGGCTCCCTACTTGTAAGACTTACTCAGTACTTCCTTCAAAAGACTGGAATATGGTACAATTCTCATCCTTGGGCCTGGTTGTGGATCTACCCTCCATCCTTCATCCAGCACTTTCTTTGTAGAAGAAAAAGGACAATAATTCATGGACCATGGTCTTTTGGCACCTAAGAGTTAGGATATCTTCTGAGAAACATTCACATTTTATAAACCCAGAAACCTGTGAAATCTTTTTTATCATGCTGTATAATGCTATCTATCTATCCCAGATCCTACAGCAACTCCTTTATCTTTTGGTATTTCTGAATCTCTTTGTATCATCAAATAATCTATAAATTAACAAACATCACTTAAGCACTTACTGTGAGCTAGGTGCAACATGCATGTGTGCATACACCTGTATGTGTATTTTGGTGGGCAGGGAAGAGCATGGGTATGAAGAACCTGAATATATGAGCTCTGCTGTCCTTTTCACACTCTTATTAGAGACAGGAATATTGTACCTAGCATAAAGAATAGACAGCATTTTGGAAACCAACAAGAGATAGTGACATCTCAGGGCCGGAACTAAGAAACTCTGTCCACACTCGGACCTTGAACGTCCTTAAACGCTACTCTGGACTCTGACTTATAAACGCCAAGGCACGCCTCGACCCCCCTACTCCCGCGCAGGCGCACCAGCCATGGAAGGAGCCCTTAGGAGACCACAGACGGGAGTCTGAAAGTAGACCAGGGGCCTTTCCAAGACCCACCCCTTTCCCCAAGCCCCGCCCTCTCCGTAGTCTTTCATCCAACCCTAGGGCCACGAATGGATGGATACTGGAGTGCTCAGGGTAAGGGGAGAAGGGCATGTCTAACTTCGTCATTTCCCACAGCCCATCAGGTAAAACTGGCCAAAACATTTCTTAACTGCTTCTCGTCCCCCACCCCCAACTCCATCCCCCTTTCCCCGCCATTTGCTTGGAACTAGAAAATAGTGAGATAATTTTGACAAGATATCATCGTGTGTGGCATCGTTTAACATGTTTTCCACTAATTTAGTGAGTCACTGATTCATTCAGTTTTGCATTGAGGTGAAGATCTTGCCGAAGATCTTGAGTTCAGTTTTCACTTGCTGAGTAAGAGATACTTTATGACATTCAAGAAGCATTGTCAAATAGGCAGTTAGAAATAGGCATGTGGAGCTTAGAGGTGTCTGGGGCGAGACGTAAAATTGGTGTCAGTTCTGGGTAGATGGTAATTGATGTTATGAGTGGAGATGAGATTGCAGAGAGAGAGAGCAGAGAATCAAAGGAGAAGGTCTAAGATCGAGTCCCAGAGGAAGAACCTAAACTGGTAGGGAGCTTCAAATCGAGACCATGAGTTGACCAGATTAAACAAGAATTTTTTTTTTTGTACCTGGGAACTAGGATTTTTTGCTAACATCCTCTGTACTCAATACTAGCATAAGCAAATTATAAATATCATCTTACTTAATCATGACCACAATACTGTAAGGTAGAGATTTTCACCCACAAGTTCGTTGAAACTAAAAGATGACAAAGCTAAGCTTCAAGCTCAGATCACTTCATACTTGTCCCACTGCTTCTCACTCAATGCTTCAAGATTTGGAGGCCCATTAGTAAGGTAGGACAGAAGTGTGGAATGATATTTTCCAAGATTGGGGGTATGGTGTGTGTCATGAATTGTTTGTGATGGGGCCGACCTTTGTAAAAGTCATATTTAACTAGCTCTGAAAAATAAAAATTTAACTTGAAAATATTGCCAGTAAACAGGCTCAGACATGATCTCCAACCGAATAAGAGTGCAGGGAAATGGAAAAGGCACAGACTAGGAGGGAGAATGACCAGCCTTCCTAACATACCTCTAGTGGGCATGAGGTTTCTGACTATGTGTCTTCAAAGGTCCGCTGAAGCCTGGGCACTTCTGCCTAGTTGAACAGGGTCATTTTCAGGTCGCAGTCATCTCACTGAAGCTCCAGCTATTTTTATGGCACAATTTCACAAGTTTCTCTCAATATATGACTTTCAATGTAAAGGTAAAGGACTCTGAAGCCACCTGGGACTAGATCCTTAAGATCTGCAGAATTGTTGGCTACAAATGCCATTCCTTTCTATCATCATGAAATGCAGTTCTTCTGAATTAGAGCCTGTCTGTACTTATTTAAGAACAAATACAGAGAAGACTTGACCTGACATATGCCAGTACTTTTCCTAGATCATTTATATATTCATTCAACAAATTTCTATTGAGAATCTAATATGTGGCAGATACTGTACTAGGAATTGGAATATATTAGTAAACACAGTCAGAAGAGGACTGTTTTAACACCCAACAGAAGCATTCCGTATGCTAAGCTACTGTGTCCCTTCACTCAATGTTCTGTGATCTACATATCCTCAGAATAAGGTGTTGTGTAGGTTGTGAGTTGTGCTCAGTCTGGAATTTTAGGTAATCAAGACATTAGTTGGATGATTTGGTTGCATGGGTCATGTGTGATGAGCATTTGTCAATTTTTGGCTTCTGATCACCTGAATACCTTTTCTATGTTCACAGTCTTCTGTGAATCTTGGGGAAGTTTGAGTCTGTCTCCCTCCATAGAGGCTAAATATACCTGAAATTCACTTTCTTTGTCTCCACTGCAGCTAGGGCACAGCATATAACTTGGACTCAACCAATTAGATACACCCAGTCTAAACTTTGAATTAAGAGCTGGTGGTACAAAAAGCAAGGATGGCAAACAGTTCCTTTTCTTTTAAAAAAAATAGACTATTTTTTAAAGCAACTTTATATTTACAGAAAAATTGAGAAGATAATACAGCTGGTTCCCATATATCCTCCACGTTTTCCTTATTATTGACATCTTAGATTATTTTAGTATATTTCTTACAACTAAGAAAATAACATTGATGCCTTATTATTAACTAAAGTCCATACTTTATTCGGATTTCTTAGTTTTGTTTCTTTGTTTTTTACCTTCTGTCCTTTTCTGATCCAGGATCTCATCCAGTATACCACGTTACACTTAGTTCTCATGTCTCCATGGGCTCTTTTTGGCTCTGACAGTTTCTTAGACTTTCTTTGTTTTTGATGACTGCAACAGTTTTAAGGAGCATTGGTGAAGTATTTTGTGGGATGCCTCTTTACTGGAATTTGTCTGACGTTTTTCTCAAGATTAGACTTGGGTTCTAAGTTTTGGGGAGGACGTTCACAGAGATAGAGTGCCATTTTCATCGCATCATATCAAAGGTACATACTATCAACATGACTTATCACTGATGATGTTAACCTTGATAACCTAACTGATGTGGTGTTTGCAGACAATTTCTTTTTCTTTTTCTGTCAGTGGCAGAGGGAGCAGCAACACCCTAGTTTCCAGACTCAGCAGCTCCAGCAGCAGGACCTGTGCTGATGGTGATCGCAATGTACATTGCACCATCTAGTGCTGAATGGCAGTGATGTCCTCATCAGATTCTGATATGATTTTGGCGTGTGATTCTGGCTGTAGGATCAGAATTGCCATTATTTCTATATTTTCTCGTTTAAATTAAATCATGCATAGTCAGCTTCTGTTACTTGTGCCTAAGAACCCTAGTTGATACATCATCTTTATTATGATTTTTTGGATGTGTGTACTAAATAATTTTTCTTTAGAAGCTTTCTGGTCCTTTATTTCCCCTCTCACTCTGTAGCATGAGAGGTAGTAGTTTCAAGCAGGCAGCTTTGTACAGTAATGTGAAAAAGCACCAAGGCATCTGTTTTGATGGGATGAATGGTTGCACAATTCTCTCAGTGTTTCAGTTATCCATTGCTGTATAACAAACTGTTCAAAACTTAATGCCTTAAAACAGCAACCATTTGATTTTGCTCTAGATTCTGTGGGTTCAGAATTTGGACAGTGAGGATGCAATGACCTATATTGACAATATTTAAGATATGACTATGGGAGTGAGGGGCAGAGACCACTGAAGGAGTCAGGAGCAAGGAATTCTGAGAATGCAGAATATTTGATTCTGTGTAAAAATTAAAATAACCAAGATCCATAACAGGAGCAGTATGTTGAGGAGGGTGACAGGGAGTTAGGGGTTAAAGTCTTCAAGAAAAAGGGAAGAGTGACGTAGAAATTTAAAATAAAATAAAATAAAACTTTAAAATCCCACTTTCCCAGCCACACCTTATTTCTTCCTCATGGTGAAACATCTGGAAATTAGTGCCTGCACTTTCTGTTTCCATTTTCTAATTTTACCACCCATTATTGAAATAGATCTTGTCCTGATCATCACTGTCAGCCAAGTCACCAATTTCAACTGTTAATTTTCTGTCCTTGTCTATATCACCTCAGCTAGCGCATGTTTTTTGAATGAGGGTTTTTCTCTGATCATCACACCCCAGGTTAGAGTTTGTCTATTATAATACCACTCCAGTAATTTTAAAAGGATAGTAACGGTGCAAAAATGTGTTTTAAACATAGTATGTATCAGTTATTGCTATGGGTGTATTGGATACACCTAGAATTGGATAAGATAAAATAAGAGTTCGGTAAGTGGTTTTAAAATGAATACGTGGATGCGTAAATGAAAGAAATAAGAAATTTAGCTACTAGATATCTCTTCACTGGGAATGTCTTCTACTGCAGAGTCAGTATGAGGTCTGTTGTTCCTGGATCCATGTTCAAGGTAACTGTAGAATGGTTATCATGGAATCCCCTTTAAACATGTGATTTTTTTGAAGGTTTTTTTTTTTAAAAGATTGGCCCTGAGCTAACATCTGTTGCCAATATATATATTTTTTCTTTTTTTCCCCAAAGCTCCCCAGTACGTAGTTGTATATTCTAGTAGGTCCGTCTAGTTGTTCTATGTGGGATGCCGCCTCACCATGGCTCAATGAGCAGTGCTAGGTCCATGCCCAGGATCCAAACAAGTGAAACCCTGGGCTGCTGAAGCGGAGCACAAGAACTCAACCACTTGGCCACGGGGCCAGCCCCTAAACACGTGATTAATTAAAAGTTTAGATAAAAGAAGGAAGTGGCTGTCAGCCACTTTATTTGGCCTAAGGGTTTATGAGAACCTGAGTAGAGTGTGGCATTGACCATTCTAGAGAAGTTGAGTCACAGTGAGGTGTGGCATACAGGCACCTAAGTCTGTGGAGGGGTCAGCCTTGGATTGGTAAACTCCAATTTCTAAAATTCTAATTTTTGTTTTGCTTTCTGAAGAGATATTCATTGGGTAAATCAGGCTCATTCAAAAGAGAGTGACCAGAATGAATATAGGGTACCAAAGCATGTTAGATAAAGGAATTTTAAGGGAACAAGTGGGTGGTTCACTGTGAGAATTGTATTTGGGCAAATACGGAAACTGAGTTCAGTGAGTTATGGTATAGAAAGGTAATGAAAATTGTTCTAGGAGTAAACTAGGGAAAGTGGGTTCAAGATACAGGAAAACTCGTTTTGACTTACAACAAGGAATATCTTCCTAATAGTAAAAACTGTATACATATGAAAGAGAACAATCCAAGAGACCAGGGAGCTATATCATTCTTGTTTAGGACAGTTACTGGAAAATTACTCAATAGAACTACTATGTGATGGTTTAAGCCTTGGACATATGATTGGATTAGGAGACTGTTGAATTCCTTTTTTACTCAGATCGTCTATGCTTATATGAAATTAGGAGTGATGATATAAAAAACTTTTTCTGGAACTTTCAGGGGAAAACATCATGAACTAGGAAGTATTATTGCCTCTGGTACTTTTTTACAAGTTGAAATGCTCTGGGCTAGAAGTGATTCTAGTATTGAAGACTCTTCCAGATATGTTTATTGCTTTAATCAGAACCTGTTCCTAGGTTTTTATGACTGGGACATCTAACCTTGAAATGTTTTTGATGTTAGGATCATATATGCAACTCATATTAGACATTATTTCAGGACAATCCAGTTTAAACCTCCTAGATTTAATTATGATTATGCTTAAACCATGTCCATGTTAGCTAAATTAATCACAAACTCCTTCAAAATAGCACTTGACACTTTTCATAATCAGGATATAACCTAAGTTTTCATCCTCTTGTTTATTCTCTATTTTCTAGCTTAGAGTGGAATATTCAGTTTCTAGAATACATCCTTAACTCTCCTGCTTCTTCCTGAAATGACCTAACTCATAATGGCCTATTGAAATTCTGCTCCTCTTTTAAGAATGTTACCATAGCTCTAAATGTCAGACCCAGAGACCACCATCTCTAAGAAAAGGACTTTCTTCTAGCTAACTTCCTGAGAGACCCTTTGACATCCTTGTTTCTCAGGCTGTAAATTATGGGGTTCAACATTGGAGTCACCACTGTATAGAACACAGATATCGTCTTATCCTGCTCTTTTGTAGTCTTCGAATTTGGCCGCATGTAGGTGAAAATAGCTGAGCCATAGAAAAGGACAACAACAATGAGATGGGAGCCACAGGTGGAGAAGGCCTTAAGCCTGCCCTCTCCAGACTGGATCTGGATCACAGTGGAGATAATATTCCAGTAGGAGACAAGGATCAGGGAGACAGGAGCAAGCAGGATGAGCACACCCATTGCAAAGATGGCCATTTCTGTGCTGTAGGTATCTGCTGAAGCCAGCTTCAGGAGGGCAGGAGGTTCACAAAAGTAGTGATTGTAATGTTCTGCCCTCCATAGGGAAGTTGGAAAGTAAAGGTGGTGTCCACCAGAGACACTAGTGCCCCACTGACCCAGGATCCTATGGTCAACTGGAGACACATCTGTTGGGTCATGATGGTGGAGTAGTGCAGGGGCTTGCAGACCGCCACATACCGGTCATAAGACATCACTGCCAGCAGTGCACATTCTGTACACCCAACCAGAAGGAAGACAATTATCTGTGTCATACACCCCAAAAAAGAAATAGTTTTCTTCTTTACCATGAAGTGGACCAACAGTTGAGGGACAATGCTAGTAGAGAAACAGAGATCTGCGAAAGAGAGATTTCTAAGAAAAAAGTACATGGGCGTGTGAAGTTGAGAATCCACAAAGATGAGAATGATGATGAGTAGGTTCCCAAGCACGGTCAACAGATAAATGCTGAGGAAAAGAACAAATAGCAGGATCTGGGTCTGCCAGTCCTGTGAAAGGCCAAGGAAGATAAACTCAGCCACGAAGCTTTGGTTTTCTTCTCCCATTGAGATTTATGCCTGTTTACCTGTTTAGCACAAACAAAAAGAGCAAACTTTGGGTTTATGATGTTAGTTCCTGTAGAAGAAGCTCATTTAAAACTGATGCCTAATTGGATATTTCAAGTTTTTGCTACCTAACTTCTTTTTATTGATACTAAATAGAATCTTTTTATTCATATTAATTTGTTATTGTTTAAATCCACTTCATATTTTCCAAAATCCCCTCTCCCCAGGGCCACTTTTTATGTTAAACCCTTCTTGACTAGTTCTCATGTAAGAATATTAGAGTTCATGTGATTTTACTAGATGGCTATACACATACTGTTAAGACTATCGCCATACATAAAACTACACCACTAACTGTTCAAACCTCCTACATATTTAGTTATAACAGATCCTTGAAAAATGTAAAAAGTTTTAGGCAAAAACTTAATTTGATCTCTTAAAAAACAACAAACTTTACCTGGGTTTAAAAATAAAGCCTTGTGCTTCATACACTAAGGAAACACTCTGTTTGGATTAAGGAGTAAAATATTAAAACTAAGACAACAAACCAAAGAGAAAAGAAGTTAAAATTGTTCTGATATCTGGATAGGACCAGATTTGAAAAATACAAAAGCCTGGTAAGAAACCACAAAAGAAAGCACATCTAGAGTTTACAACATAAATTGAAAGACTTCCATGAGATAATACCATAAACAAAACTAAAAGCTAATCTACGAACTGAGAAAAATATTCAAGAGAGATGCTAGACAAAAGTTAAACAACTTTATTACATAAATAATGGCACAAAGACATGACCAGACTCTTTCCAAAAAAGAAATGCAATAATTACTAAATATAAGAAAAATATTCAGTATTAATATAGCTCAATAAGTACAGTTACAATGAGAGATACATTTCTCACCTGAGAAATTAGCTAAGATTTTAACAGCAACAACCACAGCAAAAAACAATAACTAGTATTTTAGCGAGCATTTAACACGTGACAGGCATTACTTTAAGGGTTCTATATGATTATATTGTCCCAATAACATTATGAGGTAGACATGATTAATCTTATTTTGCAGATGAGGAAACTGAGGCAAAGTTAAGTTGTTTGCCCCAAATCACACAATTGGTAAGTGACAGAATTCATTAACTGTATAATGAGAGTGCAGAGAAAAATATATTTTTGTACAATGCAATTGGGTAGGAAAATTAGTACAATCTTTCTGGAAAATATTTTGCCAACTGTATTTTACTGAATACATCATAAGACTTAAATATTCATATGCTTTGACCAAGTTCTCAGTAGCATGGGGGAGGGAGAAAACCCTTTTTAATAGTCCTTTCTTCCCCAGGAGGAGCTAAAATCTGACTTGTAACATTCTGGGATATTGATTGCCCCGTGTTTACTACTGAGTAGGGTTACTGTGCTTGAAAAGGTCATGTACGTTTCTATTTCCTCTCTTTTTCCTGAGACTGGACTGATAAGTTGAACAAGGTCTCCCTTAAGACCATGCCCTATTCTCTTGTTTTTGAATGGTGCCTAGGTGTACTGCCAGCCAGAAGGTAATGTGATGATAACAACATGGATTTAGGCTGTAAGGGAATTTGAGGTCCTTGAAAGGATTTAAAATAGACCAAGTACCCTAACCCAAGCTTATCTGAGCTCTGAACTTGAGTGATACTAGGAACTAGCCCAATTAATAAAAGTGGTGCCTTCTTTTTCATTGTTCTTTGTTTCTTTTGTAGAACTCTAAGGGGGGAATGTCCGGGATTAGAGTAGTTTTGAGGAGAGTAGTATTGGCAGTTCTTGAATCTCCTAGGCCTAATAGTATCTAACACCCCCAAACGTTACCCCAATTTCTAAATCCAATTCTAGGAATCCATTCTAAATAAATACTCTAAATTTCAGAGAATGTTCACAAGAAAATATATTTGTCACATCATATGATAAAATGATGGTTATCAACAGACATATAGACCAACAGAACATAATAGAGAGCCCCAAAATAAACCCACACATATAGGGTCAAATGATCTTCTACAAGGGTGCCAAGAATACACAACAGGGAAATGGTATTCTCTTCAATAAATGGTGTTGGGAGAACTGGATATCCACCTGCCAGAGAATGACATTGGACCCTTATCTCACATCACATACAAACATCAACTCAAAGTGGATTAAAGACTTAAACATAAGAAACTGTAAACTCGCTAGAAGAAAACATAGGGAGAAAGATTCTGGACATTAGTCTTGGCAACGATTTTTTGGATATGACACAAAAAGCACAAGCAACAAAGCAAAAATAGACAGGTGGGACTACAGCAGTCTGAAAAGCTTCTGCATAGAAAAAGAAACAATCAACAAAATGAAAAGACAATCTATGGAATGGGAGAAAATATTTGCAAGCCATATTACTGATAAGGGTTAATATTTGAAATATGTAAGGAACACACATGACTCAATGACAAAAAAGCAAATAACCCAATTAAAACATGGGCCAAGGAACTGAATAAACATTTTAATGAAGAAGACAGAAATGGCCAGTGGGTATATGCAAAGGTGCTCAATATCACTAATCATTGTGGAAATCAAACCAAAACCACCATGAGATATCACCTCACATGTATTAGGATAGATATTACATATAAAAAACAAAAGATAGCAGTGTTGGGGAGGATGTGGAGAAAAAGGAACCTTTGTGCACTGTTGGTGGGAATGTAAATTGGTACAGTCCCTATGGAAAACAGTAGGGAGTTTCCTCAAGAAATTAAAAATAGAACTACCATATGATCTAGAAATTCCATTTCTGGGTATATTTCCAAAGGAATTGAAATTGAGATCTGTACTCCCGTATTTACTGTAGCATTATTCACAATAGCCAGGACATGGAAGCAACCTAAAAATCCATCAACAGATGAATGGATAAAGCAAATGTTGAATACACATACAATGAAATTTATTCAGCCTTAAAAAAGAAGGAAATCTTGCCATTTGTGGGAACATGGATGAAGGTGGATGACATTATACTGAGTGAAATAAGCCAAACACAGAAGGGCAAATACTACATGATATCACTTATATGAGGAATCTAAAATAGTCAAACCAATGGAAGCAGAGAATGATGTGATAGTTCCCAGGGGCTGGGGCAAAGAGGAACTGGGGAGGTATTAGAGGGTACTAAGTTTTATTTATGCAAGATGAATAAGTCCTAGAGATGTACTGTATGACATTGTGCCTGTAGTTAACAATACTGCATTGTATACTTAAAATTTTGCTAATAGGGTAGATCTTAAACAGTCTTATCATATACACACAGACAAAAAAATAATAACAAATAAGAGGGAGAGAAGAAACTTTCGGAGGTGATGGCTATGTGTATGGCATAGATTGTAGTGATGGTTTCATGGGGGATACTTATGCCCAAACTCATCAAGTTGTGTACAATAAGTATGAATAACTTTTTGTATGTCAATCATTCCTCAATAAAGTGGTTTAAAAAGTGGAAATAATTTAAGTAGCCAACACTAGAGGATTAGGTAAATTACACTTGTATATTCTGGAATACTATACTATGCCATCATTTAAATGATGTTTTTGAAGAGATTTGGTTGACTTTGAAAATACTTTTTGTGTAGCCTTAATTGAAAAATACAGGACTTAAAATTTCATACATAGTGTGCTTTCAAATAAATGCAACTGGAATAGTGAAAGGGGGCATGATATAAGCACAATATAGATAACAAATGGGCACAATATCTATTTTTATGAGTGTAAGTAGTTACCAAATTTCATGAAATATTCATCCTATTCAAAGAACCACTTCTCTCTCACAATTATTTCTGAAATTCCACAGGGAATAACTTACCTGTTCTCAGCACTTTCAGCCCCAAAGTAATATCTGTCATTTTCTCTGTTGCCTTCTCTTGTTGTCTAGGTGTTATCTGAACACGACTGTTTCCTCTGCACCTACAGATAGTGATTATTAATATCACTAATAATCATAATGACAATCATCTTCCATTGGTACTGACCAAAAGTGTTTTTGCTAATGCCTTAGGGACCAATGCTAATGTGTATTTTCAGAATGCACAGAAAAGTCTGAAAAAACAAAATTTCTAAAATGTTGAGAGTAGTTGGCTCTGGGTACTGGAATTATGGATGGGTTATTTTGCTTTTCTAACGTTTTTGTGTTTTAAAGTTGGTCTTGGAAAGGCCATATATTGCCGATATAGGAAAAACATAAAACTGGGAAAATCTAAACAGCATTTAATTGAGGATGGTTTAAACTAAAGGTGCTTTATTGCTTCTACTTTTGGTCTTGATAAAGTAACTGGTATAGGACTAGCCCTCTTGCTAGAAACAAATATAAAACAAAATATGGAACAACCATTTTCAGACATTGGACAATAGTCAGCTCAGAAAGTCATCCTGTATACCAAGGAAACAAAAAAGGTGAACTCCATGATCACACTAGCTTTACACCTGGGGCTCTCTCAGGACTGTGGTCCGTGGAGTTGGAGCCTAAGGAGAGCATGATGGCCTTGTTGAGCTGAGGAGACAGAGATGCATAATGGATAGCACCAAAGGATCTGGAATTTGTGAAAGAGAGTATCAGAAAGGAAGTAGCTACATAGTAAGGGGGTTCCAGAATCTGTCCACGTTTTGGCTGAATACTAAGCTGTGTATGCACAGGATAAGAGTGTGCAAGCCCCTCAAAAAGCAACTATTAGGGAGTTAGGTATAGCTGCAAGATTTTGGAATTCCAGTCAGCCAGAATGGAGATGCTTCATTGAAAACTCTGAGTTGCTACCTTAGAGAGGACAGGTCTTAGGAGCAAGGCTGTGATGAATTAAGGATGCATATTGTAACCCACGGAATAACCGCTAATATAGAAAACAAGAGTAATAGCTAAAAATCAAACTGAAAATATGAACTGGAATAATAAAAAAATAATCAAAAAGAAGGCAAGAAAGATGTAAAGAGTAGATGGGTAAAATAGCAAATAACAAGATGTTAGACTTCAACCCAATTGTATCCATAATTAGATGAAAAGTAAATGGATGAAACATTCTAATGAAAGGGAAGAGATTGTCAATTGGTCAAAAAAAGGAAGACCTGAAACATTTTGTCTACAAGATATGCATTTTAAATATAAAACCACAGTTGAGTGAAAGTAAAGGATGGAAAAAATATACCATGCAAACACCATAAGGAAACTGGAATGGCTGTACCAATATTAGACAAAGTAAACTTCAATGTAAAGAGTGTGCCAGAAATAAGGAGAGACATTCATAATGATAAAAGTGTCATTCATCACAAAGATAAAACTATACTTTAGAATATAGCTATAAGAATAATTAGAAATACTCACAGATATAGTTGGAGATTTCAACCCTCTTCTCCTTATAGAACAGAGAGTAGATCAGTGAGGATATAGACAACTTGAAGGACACTAACAACCAACTTGACCTAATGGATATTTATAGAACACTCCACCCACCAAGTACAGAATGTACATTCTTTTCCAATGTGAAAGGAGTATTCACCAAAGATAGACTATGTATGCCAGGCAATAAATCAAATCTCAATAACAAGGGATTGAAATCATATAGACCATGTTCTCTGACCATAACAGAATTAAATTATAAATCGATAAAAGAATGTCCAGAAAATCCTCAAGTATTTGTCAATTAACACACTTCAAAATAACTCATGGATCAAAGAGGAAATCAAGTGAAATTGTAAATATTTTAAACTGACTGATAATGAAAATGTCAACATATTAACAAATTGAAATTCTTTTGAACTTTCAAAGAATGGTAATTACTATTTCATTTACCTGGTACATAGAGAAAAAAGGAAAAGTCTGTTAATTTTTATGAAGTCAGCGTAGAACCAGTACTCGTGAGGTAGATATGAAGTCTAAATAAAATAAAAGCACATGGACTACAGCAGTATTCCAAAGAATAAAGTGTCATGATCAAGTGAATTCCTTCCGTGAATGCTCAGATAAGTCAATATTAGTAAATTTATTAAAATAGTTATTCATATTATCAGATCTAGTGGGAAAAAAAATCTCAGTAGATACTGCAAAAGGCATTTTGATAAAGTTCATCTTTCACTCCTGATAAACACTTTCAGTAAAATAGGAACTTAGATATACTTCCTTTTGGAAAGAATTTGAATATAATTCTGTTTTATGATAGTATCTATTATTTGAAATCAAAAGTAGGATCACGTTTAACCGTGACATATAAGAAACAATCACATTAAATTCCAGATTAGAAAAAGATCTGTGTTCATTTGCAAAGAGTTAGTTAATGCAATAAAAATTAGAAATAGAATGTAGAAAAGAAAGGTATACATTGGAAAGAAAAAGGTAAATTTATCATTATTCGTAGATGATTTTATTTTCTGTCTGGAAATCTTAAAATCTACTGAAAACTGATTAGAAACAATAAGAAATCTGTAAACAAACTAGTTTTCTATATGTCTGGTTTTGTTACATATTAATTAGAACTAATTAGAAAATTAATTAAAAGTAGATACAATTCATAACAGCAACCTCTCCCAAATATTTAGGTGTGAATTTAACAGAATATGTCAGAAACAATACCAGAGAAAAATCCTTTATACTCTAATGAGGAACATAGAAGTCAACATGAGTAAATGCAGATTTAATTTTTTCATTTTAAGTGGGATGGGAAATGGGATTGGAAATTTAAATATTATAAAGACATCAGTTCTTTCCAAAACATTGATTCCCATATATTAATATTCCTAATAATTCTCTTCGTGTTTGTTGCTAACAAATATTTTAGACTCTGGAGATTTTTAGTAGGTTTGTGGTGGAACAAAGAAATCTGCCTTTTTAACAAGTTTACCTGGTGATTTTGATATGATTTTTTCATGGACCATATTTTGAGAAACATTACCCATTAAAAATATAAAACTCAAAGGCAATTATAATCAAAATCCATAAGCAATTTCTGACGGGAACTTTAA